GGCCAAGAGTTCAGCGGTTACGCCACACAAGTAGGAAATTTTCCAGTAATTTGTTATTATTTTATTAATTGCTATGCGTTTATGATTGACAGAAATACTTATAAGTTATAAGCTATTTTGAACTCCATGTATAGGTGAAATATGGAATTGATAGAATTGTTTGTACCTTACCACGGATGTATCAGGTACTACACTAATGTTCAATATTTGTTTTTAGAATGATATGCAAAAGTTGAATGATTTCTGATCATATTTTTTGCTGAGCAGCTTGCTCAAGGTGGAACTGCAGTTGGAACGGGCTTGAACACTAAGAAAGGGTAATCTTTAAATTTCTTCGGAGTTAATGTGTTTACAGTGTCGCAGTGATACTCTCTGCCATTTACTTTATCTTTGTCCTGGTACTTTCTGTACGCCCTCTCCCCCCTTAATAAAACAAAGGAAGACTAACAATAAAAAAAGGGAAATCCAAGAATCATTATAAAGTTGAGACCAGATTATATCCTTGGCTAGAGAGAGTTCATGTAACCCTGTTATCCAGAGTGCTGTGTCCCTAATCTAGACGAATCTTTAAATGCAAAATAGTGTTCCTTTTGTCAAATGCTACTTTAATATAGTGCAGATAAACAACTTATATTGTTCCTCTAGATATCTGGCCTAAACTCAATGAGATGGCTGATTTAAAGAATACCGTCTCAGATTTGACATGGTTCTTTCTAATTGTTTACCCATAACTACATGTTTGATTCTCGCCAAAACAATTCTATGTTCCGTGTTTAGCCAGAACTTTAGCTCCTTGCATTTGCTGAGTTCTTTGTTCATACTAATTAATCATACTTAGTTAAAACTTATACCTGCTGTTTCAGATTTGATGTCAAAATGCTGCTGCAGTTGCTAAAATTTATACCTGCTGTTTCAGATTTGATGTCAAAATTGCTGCTGCAGTAGCTGAGGAAACGGAACTACCTTTCGTGACAGCTGAGAACAAGTTCGAAGCTTTGGTTGGTGGTTATGCTCACACTCAACACTTACAATCATTAATAACAATTGGTGGTTCTGCAAATTCTTTTTCTTTTATTTTAGATGGCATAACTCTGTAATTGCAATTGCATTGTTGACCACGGGTTATGTCCACAAAACAATTTGCAATATTTACAGATAAAATTCGACCAATTGTTAGTAAATATCAGTAATACATTTTGTTGACATATTTTTACCCACAACATTATTAACTTTGGAAATGTTTTTATTGATGCTAGTTGTTGGGGTTTGTTCTTTCTAATACTAAGACAATCCTTTTCTTCTTTCAATTGAGTAGGCAGCGCATGATGCTTTTGTTGAGAGCAGTGGTGCTGTAAACACAATTTCTGCATCTCTTATGAAGATAGCAAATGACATACGCTTGTTAGGAAGGTTAGTATTCCAGTCTTTTAGCCTTTTGAGAGCACAAATATTTCTCTATTCTTCTGGGGAGATATAGTCAATATATCTAATATGATCACAGCGGCCCCCGATGTGGACTTGGTGAACTTATCCTACCTGAAAATGAGCCTGGGAGCAGCATTATGCCTGTAAGACTGTATTGCATTTGATTGTTTCAGTTTCTCAATTAGCACTGTGCTATCAAGCATTGGTTTTAACTACTTCCATCTTACAGGGAAAAGTTAACCCTACCCAGTGTGAGGCCTTGACCATGGTTTGTGCTCAGGTGTGAATGTGTGATAATACCCAATTTTACTTGACTTAATTTGTCCAATACTCTTATGCACTTATATTGTACTGTTTGTACAAACAGTTCTCTACTTTGTTCTGTCTTATTAATCTGCAACCTGTATTCCTTGTCAATATTACATTTTCATCTTGCACCTTTATTGCATTTGCTCCCTTGCTTTCCTAGTTACAGATGAGTAGCTTGCTTGGTAGGACCTTTACAACATTGTTTATACAATACCCTTTTTTCCTGCTTTATTTAAGAACTTAATTTGTATGAGGAATCTGATCATCTAAATACGGATTGGTGACATACAATTATGAGTTATATGCAAATGGATGCTACTACAGCTCCTTGATTTCCAAAAACAACTCATGCAATTGATACCTGACTCTGACATGGATTGATTTCTACTATGTCTTATTACTTCTCGTTTTCGTATGGTCCTTTCGTTGAAATATGCAATTTACTTCCACTGAAATTTGTGATTTACTTTTGTGCTGATTGGAAGATTGGAAATTCCAAATAATGGTTGTTTTTGCAGGTTATGGGTAATCATGTTGGTGTCACAGTAGGTGGTTCGAATGGACATTTTGAGTTGAATGTCTTTAAGCCAATGATTGCAGCTGGATTACTTAGAGTATGATCTCTCTATTATACATGCCTCAATATGCTAATATGTATCCTTTACAAAATTTTCTTTAAACAACTACATAAACCCTCATGCATCTGTATCCTGTTACACTGAGTTGCTAATACCTCTATACCTCTGCTTACTTTCTTTCTAATACTGTTCGTGGGCACCAGTTTGAGTGATGTTCTATACCTCTTCTTCTACAGTCACTGAGATTGCTAGGGGATGCCTCTGTGTCCTTTGAGAAAAACTGTGTCAGGGGAATTCAAGCAAACCATAAGAGAATTTCACAATTATTGCACGAGGTAAAGTATCTGTGACTGAACTGTAGGAAAAAAATGCATATACAATTTTTCAACAAATTTGCTTGATTAATTTGTGTATCCTTTTTTTTCCAGTCTTTGATGTTGGTGACATCTTTGAACCCTGTAAGTGAAATTCATCCATTTTGTAGCCTTACATTTATCTTTTCTATTACATCTGCTTTCGTGAGTGCATACTTAATTCTATTTAATAAATGCAGAAAATTGGCTATGACAATGCTGCAGCTGTTGCTAAGAAAGCACACAAAGAAGGAAGCACATTGAAGGTGATTATTCCATTTATTTTAGTTGTTTTGATTCGAAACTGATGTGCAATGGTCTGCGTTAGCCTTAAGGTGATATGTGCAAACATAATTTCATATTTTGGCTTGATTGTCAGAACCATCAATATTCTAAGGCATAAATCCATGCTATTGGGATAAGGTGCTACATATAGAGATTTAGGACAACCATCATTTCCCCCCTTGCGCTGATCTTTTTGGTCGCCATTCATATTAGTGTATCAACATAAATTGCAATATGTTGATGTTGTGCGCTTTTAATCTTTTTGTGATTTACTGTTGTGGATCATATCTCTTTTTCATCTTTTATCTCTTTTTCATCTTTCCAGGAAGCTGCTCTAGACCTCGGAGTATTGACAGAATCAGAATTCCATGAGCTTGTTGTTCCAGAGAAAATGATTGGTCCTTCTGATTGATAGCGACTAATGTATTCCTGTCCTGTGGATTTCCTAGCTCTAGCTCACCCGTAAATAAAGCAAGCCAGACATTTACATCTTCAGTTCCTTATCGTATTGAAGAGTTTGTTTTTGCACTGCAAATGGTGCCGGAGAAAACAAGATTCCATTCCTGTTACTGAAATAGTAAACAGTATATTTTGATTCATTGAAGTAGATGCTTTTTATTTCTAGGGCATGCCATCCTTTTCCCAATGGCGAATCTGCATGTAATAAGTTAATGTAGCAACCATGCCCGTGGAAATATTATCACATTTGACTTGAGAACAAATGAATGAAATATATTTGGATTATGTTTATTTTTTAAGAAAATAGATTAAACCTGCCTCTACAACCATAGTGGATGTACACAACCAAGGATTATATGTTTCTATGTCTGTCGTTTCACTTTTCTGAATATAAGCTAGTATAAAATGCAGGTGTGGTTCAATGTGTAGTAAAATGCACCTGAGGTACCAAAACTTATGCTGCCGATTAGTTACTAATCCTGCAAACAATTTAGAGTTTAGATGAGTTACAGGCATGGGCAGAAAATGACATACTGGTCTACTACTACATCGATATCACCTTGACTAATCTACGCTCACTTCTAAATGCTCCCTCCGATTCATGTTAAGACGTTATAACTTTCAAAAGTTAAACTTATTTAAGATTACGAGAAATATAGCAACCTTTTTAATACAAAACAAATAAAAACATGTTATCAACTTCTACTTTCTTATTTTTCACGTGCACACTTTTCAAACTGTTAAATATTATAATTTTTTTTAGGGACAACGCAGACACTCACAACACGCGCACGCTAACCAAAGGCACACGCTAACCTTCTAAGAGCACATTCAGAAGACTAGATATATCTATGAGCACATCCGAAAGGCTAGGCATATCTTAAGATTAATGAAGTTACCACGGACGTCTCGTTGTCGATGATTGTATTGTCTATCACTGAAAAAAAATTAGCCGTAAATGTGAATACCCGTGCTAAATTTAGAATTTTGAAGGCCCACTTCGCAGTGTCACAGTTTTAAAAACATATTAATCAATTTTTAAGTTTTTATAACTAATACTTAATTACTGATCTGTTAATGAGCCATTCGTTTTAATGTGCACGTTAGAGAAGTTTCTAATCTTCGCTTCTGAACCCACACTGATCCTGATACTGTAATGCAAAAGAGAGAGTACATTTTAAGTATCTCTTTTCATTTTTTTTTTCAGAAAAAACTTTTAAGTATCTCACAGAAATTGGAGCCATCAAATCATCAATATAGTTTACTCATTTATGAAAGCTTCAAATGTCCGGCGTCCAGAGTTTCAGAAAATTCACTCAGGAGTATGCTAGACTATTCTCTTCTCCATGATTCCGCAAAAAGCTTTTTCGTTAAAACCTAAATAAACCTCGTCAAAAAAAAAAAGCCGGCGACAAATCCAAGTCCTCCACGTCATCCCATCCCCGACAGCGACACGCTCCACTCACTCGAGCCTTCTGGGCGGTGGAACCTACACCAACCACTGATGGGCCGACGGCCCAGCCCAGCCAGCTCGCGCTGAAACCCTAGCCCCATCACAGGAGGGGGGCTATATAAGCCCTCCGCGCCGCCCCTCGCCAACCCTTGCACCCCCTCGCGCCTCCACCACACACTCCCACCCAGGTAAGGAGAGGGAGGAGGAAGGGAACCTCGAAGGCGGCGGCGGCGGCGGCGGAGATGGTTTCCCTCAAGCTGCAGAAGCGGCTCGCCGCCAGCGTGCTCAAGTGCGGCAAGGGCAAGGTCTGGCTCGACCCCAATGAGGTCAACGAGATCTCCATGGCCAACTCCCGTAAGAACTCCCCTCAACTCCCGTTTGATATCATCTTTGTGTGCGATTGGTAGTTTGTGTTGCGCGTGATTTCCTTTAGATCTGGAGCTATAGTGCTAGTCTGCGGCGCGAAACTGTTGCCGTGGCGATTCCGATGTGGAGTTTCGTTTGGTTCGCTTAGTCGGAGTAGTTTTGATGTGTTCTAGGTAGTGTGTTGTTTAATTTAGTTGCGGAGGAAGTTGCTTCATGGGACTTAAACCGTTGCCTGTTGCAGTTTTTCTAGGTTCGTTTTTGTGATGGATGCATAGAGGTAGAAAAGTTTCGAGAAATGATTTATACATGGAACTTAGGGTTAGGGTTTAGATTGATCTTAGGGGTTCTGTCAAATCCACGGTGCTGTTCTGGGGATGTGTGTGCTTATTATCCTCCATTAGATGAAAAATAGACATGATATAGACATGATATGTGATGCTTGATGTATTACTTATTCTTGTTCGTCACCTATGCCAGGTAGGATGAAGACTGCAATTCATGCACACAGGATTATTAATAGGGAATGCCCACACGGTTATCAATAGGGGAACATTCCTTTGTCTGTTGAAATTACAATTCTATAACATCTAAGTTCATTCGGTTCATTTCGATTGTTCATCACCATTTGTAGAACTGCAGTATGATACTGTGTAAATGTATGCATTGTGGTTTGTTTACTTGCAAGTTTTGTTGTGCTAATTATAAGATATATTGTTTGCTATGCTATGTTGGGTATCGTGCATACTTTCATAAACAAAGTCTATGTTCTGTTCTGTTTGGAGTATAAATACTCATTTCCGATGGTCTAGTAATTATTTACTATCGTCTTGAAAAGCTGTTCTAGATACTTGGTTTTATTTCCCTGTGACTTGTATATGTGCTTGCATGGTGATGAACTTTGATTTCTATAACACGTTCCTGAAATGCTGGGAAAGCTATCTGATGTTCTGTTCCTTCCTACTTGCAGGTCAGAACATCCGTAAGTTGGTCAAGGATGGATTCATCATCAAGAAGCCCCAGAAGATTCACTCCAGGTCCCGAGCACGGAGAGCCCATGAGGCTAAGCAGAAGGGACGTCACTCTGGCTATGGTGCGTTGGGTCCATTTAAGTTTGCTGTTATCTTAGTGCAAACATGTGTGTCTGCATATTCCTTATTCTTCCTATTTTGCAGGTAAGCGTAGGGGTACAAGGGAGGCTAGGCTCCCCACCAAGATCCTGTGGATGAGGAGGATGCGTGTGCTCAGGCGTTTGCTGCGCAAGTATCGTGAGGCCAAGAAGATTGACAAGCACATGTATCATGACATGTACATGAAGGTCAAGGGTAACATGTTCAAGAACAAGCGTGTTCTTATGGAAAGTATCCACAAGTCTAAGGCTGAGAAGGCAAGAGAGAAGACACTCTCTGACCAGTTTGAGGCTAAGCGTGCCAAGAGCAAGGCAAGCCGTGAGAGGAAGATTGCCAGGAGGGAGGAGAGGTTGGCTCAGGTGAGATTTTTTTTGCCTATGGTTCTATAGTTTAATTTTCTTCAGTTAGTAACACTCATGATTCAATATTGAAATATGTTAATTGATGTTTTCCTCACATCATACTGACACATTTCAATTTTACAATATGTTTTCTGTCAAATCTTAAGTAATTTTTTCATTGTCAAAGTATATTTTCCTGGCTATTAATATTTGATTATTTGCTGATCATGTGATTTAATACTTCTCTGAATGCAAACAGGGCCCAAGAGAGCCAGCAGCTCCTGCAGCGGCAGCTCCTGCTCAAACTGCAGCGTAAGTATCATGACACCTTCCATTTCAACCCGTGTTTGCTTATTTTCAGAAGTTTTATGGTCCACAACTTCCTAATGATGCAGGGCACCTAAGAAGGCAAAGAAGTGAACACCTGGCTTGAAGTGTGGTCGTCTTAGTGAAACCAGTGGAGGTGTTAGCTGAATTTTGAAATACGAACCGTTTGGCCTAGTATTTAAGTATCTTCCAAAGTCTGATACCTTGAACATTATGTTTCATGCTGCTGGATGTAGTAGATGCTTATGCAAAGTTGTTTTTTCAAAGGTTGATGGTGATCTTAACCTTATAATTTGTTTGCTTCAATTTCTTCATGCCTGATCAGAAATTAACGTCTTTACCATCCGGTAGTGTACCAATGCTAAGTGATTGCATTAGTGGCCGTAAAATTCCGGACAGACGTTGCTTGGCATGGGGTGTTTGATTGGTCGTCATGTTCTTAACCTGAATCTTTCTGGAGCCTTGGGGAAAGTGTATCCAGGAACACGTTGGCTATGTTGAGGTGTCGAAATGTGCTCCTGGATGTGGTGAACTGTTTTCACCGTTGGTGGCGGCGGAAGCTGTCCGTGGAAGGCTGGAGGTGGCAGCCATTACACGGCCAATTCTATGGCGACAGAGAGGAAGGGAGAAAGTAAGGCGAAGGCAAGGCTAGTAGTGAGAGGAATCGGTGAAATGTGGTGGCGTTTACAGGGCTGCTATGTGCCTATTAGTAGTTAGTGGATCCAATTTTATGTGATCGCGTTTGGGAAGGCTAGTGTGATATCGGGGTACATGCAACAACATGATGGCAAAATTATGTTGGCCAGGCGACTCACTGATGGCGCTTCAGTTCGAGACGGGCCTAGCTATTGCGTGCAGGGAGCGCCGGACGGCGCTCGGGGTCCCGACTCCCATGGAGGACGACGACGCCGACCTATGCTGCAATTTGCTTAGGGCAAACGACTTCATCGGTTTTGATCTATGCTGCAATTTGAAACGACTTCACGAGCGTTATCATTGGAAATCCGTTAATAAAATGACGATGAAAACGGATGAAATCCGGATAATTTTTTGTCAAAAAAAATCACAATATTGCACATTATCACAAATGAGTTGCTAGCGAGGTAAAGTTTCGTCATGTTAGAACTTGGAAGAGGTTGCAATAGGATAGCTTGTATTCAAGGTCTTGTTCTCAACTATTGTAATAACTTTGTTTCTCATCAGTAAAACATCATCTTTCTTGCAAAAAAAAAATCAGTTTGAAATTGTTTTTGGACATGACTGAAAAGCCGAGCAATTTGTGTCCTTCAAAAAGTCCCGACTTCATAAAATCCGAATCGAATTCAACTGTGAACCCTATAGCTGAGTTAAGCTATGCTAGAAGCGTGATAGGGCGAGGGAGGTGGTCTAGTGGGCTAGGGGTAAACGGGGGAATTTAACTATTTGCCACTTTTAAGTTTGGCAATTATCCAAATGCCCTTCTTAGTTTTGCACTTAATTTTGTGTCCCTCTTAAGAGGTGGTCTTTTAACTATTTGCCACTTTTGCCTATGTGGCATGCCAACGTGGTAAACTCGGGTGAAAAATGGTGTGGGACTCACTCGTCAGTCTCTCCCCGTTCTTTCTCTTCCCCATAAACGCTGGCATCGCCTCTCTTCTCCATCGTGCCTCTACCTGTCAACGCCAGTGAGCAGTGACGGAGGAGGCGGAACCGCCGAACAGACTCCTCATGGTGGGTGGAGGACGCAGAGTGGCAGCGGAGGTAGAGTGGCAACGAATGAGGCAGAGCAGCGACGATGGAGGAGGTGGAGCGGCGACGGCGGTGGCGGAGGAGGAGGCAAGGTGGCGATAGAGGAGGCAGAGCAATGGCGCTGGTGGAGGAAGTGGAGCAGTGGCGGCGGGGGAGGCAGAGCTTCGACGGAGAAGGCGGAGCCGCCGGAAGGACTCCTCGTGGCGGTGGAAGAAGCGAAGAGGCGACAACGACGAAGGAGGAGGGCGGCGGCGGAGGTAGAGCGGCAGAGGAGGCGGAGCGGCGCCGAGCCGCCAATGTTGACGGGTGCAGGCGCAGTGGAGAAACAATGATGCCGACGTCAATGGGGAAGAGGAAGAGCGGGGGAGACTGACGAGTGGATCTCACTATTTTTCACCCGAGTATGCCACGTTGGCAAAAGTGGCAAATAGTTAAGAGACTACCTCTTAAGAGGGGAAAAAAGTGGCAAATAGTTAAGAGACTATCTCTTAAAAGGAAAAAATTAAGTGCAAACCTAATAAGGATATTTGGATAATTATCGAATCTAAAAGTGGCAAATATTTAAATTTCCCGGAAAACGGGCTGCTGGTGTCCATCATACCCAGCGCTCGCCATCCAACGGTCGAGCGCTGCAGATGTTCAGACCCAACGGCGCTCAAGCCTGCACGCCAGTATCGAGCAACTTCTGTTCGCTCCATTGCATGTGCCTCCATCACAAGGCCGCCGCAAGCACCAAAACCCAGATGACGCTGTGCTCGCCGCCGCCATCTCCTCCGCCTTCTAACCCGCGCCGCGCGCTTCCTCCTCCTCCTCCTCCAGAGCAACTACCTCCTCCCCCGCCTCTCCCCTCTCTAAAACCCTAGTCCTTCTCGCCCGCCATGGGGTACGCGCAGCTCGTCATCGGCCCCGCCGGGAGCGGCAAGGTGAATGGGTCTATCCGACTCCCCCATCCCATCCGCTTCGTTTCATGCTTTTAGGTTTTTCGGTTTTGGAGGGGGTTTGATATGATGGTGGGATTTCCTCGGCGATGGTTAGGATATTCGGGGCGAGTCTTGGGATTGTCTCCGTGCTGTTTTAGTGGGGAATGATTCCTGTCGATTGTATTTGAGTTTATTCTTATTTCACTAGGGTTTGGTTAGTGTAATACTAGTTGTTGGGATGCCTACCACCTCCGGTAAAATTTGGGAGTATTAAGTTTGGCACATGATAACATTATCAGAGAATTTACAAGCATGTATTGCAAGTTTTCCTAGTGACTAAAATGAGATGCTGGTAATTGTTTTTTCCCCCTAATCTGTTGTATATGCTGTGCAGTCGACATATTGCTCCAGTTTGTATCAACATTGTGAGACTGTGGGTAGGACAATTCATATGGTCAATCTCGATCCTGCTGCAGAGCACTTCAGCTATCCTGTATCTACGGGTAAGAATCTTGTGCTTCTTCTGCTCACATGTAAATGCCACCCGGCTCGCTTATACTTGGCTTCTTTTTAAAATTTTGTAGATATTAGGGAGCTCATATCATTGGATGATGTCATGGAGGAACTTGGGATGGGACCAAATGGCGGGCTTATCTATTGCATGGAGTATCCTGTTTTGAGTCTTTTAATTTTATTGCCCTTTTCTTTCCAAGCTATTTAAGTTCTTAACTGATCCTTGTGGTAAATTATTTGCAATGTGCTGTTGTTGTGTTTCGAAAGCTAATTGGGTTGCAGGGGCAACATCAGGCCATTGTGGGTAGAAACTTTTCTTTTAGCACAATTTTTCCGCAATTGCTCTGCAACTAGCTTTTGGGGCTCTCTCCGCTCTTGAGATTTAGTACATATTGGTCTCAAAAGCATTATTTGCTTGGCCATTATAACTGGAGTGCCATACTTTCCTCTCAACTATGGCCATGCATTTTTTGTTTTGAGCAATCAACGGTAGGATGAGACAGCTCACCTGAAATATATTAAACTCGGAATCAGAACTGGATTATATATCTCTATGGCCATGCAATCATCAGATCTGTATCTGTATGCTGATGAATGTTGGTGAGATGGACTGCTCATGCTTATTAACTCTATAATTTACTAACTTCTTTCTCTATTTCGCCATTCATTAGCAGTAGTTTTATATAGATGTCCCAAGAGTAAGTAGTTTTGCTATATGCATATGATACTTTAGAAACTATGTCATTGCTATCATATGTTCAATTTGCTACTCCATCTGTCGGGAGACATTTGCACAGACACCACCTTTTAATTCTCCATACTATGTTAGTTAAAACACTGCAAACTTGATTAGTCTTGTTTAGTTCACCCATTCACATTACTTGCAGGCTAGCAGTGTACAATTTATGCTGACTCTTCATTTGTTTGAACGTTCTGTAGAGTTATATGTGTACTAGGATCCAATAAAAAACCCTTGGTATTAATATCATGTCAATCTAAAGAGGATGTTATGGGTATATTTTTTATTTAATAGGATTTTATGCTGTCAGTTGTTCCTTAAGAAAACCATAGGCACCTTGAAGACAATTTGGATGATTGGTTGGATGAGCAACTGGATGGTTATTTGGATGATGACTATCTTGTGTTTGATTGCCCAGGTAACTTTCTTTATTTCATGATTGTGTGCTTTAAATGTAGTTGGAGGTTACGTAGAGCTTGACTACTATTCTTACCATACATGGCCTTGAAAAAACCAACGATTAATCAATATCTCTATCTAACGAATTATACTTGTGCGATAAGCTTGTACAAGGACCTATTGCTCATGTTATTCTCTAGCAATACAGATATTATGTCCTTCCCCTGTAGTTGCATGGGAATTCTGAAATATTTTAGATTGTTTAACTTCACCTAAAATCATGACAATGAGAGACCACATCTTGTTTCTCCAGGCCAGATTGAACTCTTCACTCATGTCCCAGTTCTGCGTAACTTTGTTGAACATTTGAAACGAAAAAATTTCAACGTTTGTGCCGTGTACTTTCTTGATTCACAGGTTTGGACTCTTGGATCACTAACCAAATATATTTATCCTTGAAAAAAGATACTGGCCCCAAACACAAGTAGACAAGTCTGACTTGAGTTTTGTTTTTCTTGGTTAAGTTTGTTAGTGATGTGACAAAATACATCAGTGGTTGCATGGCTTCTCTTTCTGCCATGATTCAGCTTGAACTTCCTCATATCAACATTCTTTCAAAGATGGACCTGGTCGCCAACAAAAAGGATGTGGAAGAGTATGTTTATTTCATTTCTCCTTTATTTAAAGATTCAACCATCCTGCTTTGTATTAATCTCTTGATGTTTTCTAGGTATCTGAATCCAGAGGCGCAGGTTCTCTTGTCACAGCTGAACCGACAGATGGCACCCAAGTTTGGCAAGTTAAACAAATCGTTAGCTGAACTGGTACGCATGACATGAACCTGTAAATTCTTCTGTATATTGTTACTCCTTTATAAAAGCCTATATTTGTCAAAATATGTGGTTGCCAGCCTGTTGTCAGAACCTGTGACTGACCCGGTCAGGTCTCAGGTCATTGGTCACTGGTTGAAGTTGAACTGCAGGTTTTTCTTTATACATTCAGGCAGCACATGTATTTCAAATGTCTATGCTTTCACTGCTGTTCCCAGCCAAGAGCATGGCCTGGTGGCCACTACGTGCGTTTATTTCAGTAGGGTAGGGAGGCCTTGTGCTCAAAGCCTAACGATCATGCTATTTTTCCTATTTATTCTGATTAGTTGGTTCTCACTGGGCTTGGTTCTCTCACCAGGCCACAAAAAAAAACAGCTGATTTGATAGGTTTTTGCTGTCCAGAGTGGCTTGGCTGCAGAAATGATCAAATAGCCTTGACCAGACTGGGGAAAGCACTGGGTTCCTTTTTTTTCCGATTCAAACCGCCAGTCCAGTCTGAATCTAATAACACTGGTCATGAGTGCCTCAAGGATGTCACAGACTCACAAATTCATAAATGCCGGACATATAGCATTATTTTTTTAAAAAAATCGTTATTCCTTTGAAGCAAATTACCTACATTATTAAGGTTTGCTATAATGTACTGTAGCCTATTCTAAGTATCAAGAAACATACCATTTTCATGAAATACTTGTTTTTTTCAACAACAAAATAAACTTAAATATTGATTAAACATTTGTTGGTGTTTCAAGTTCTATCACACACTTGTTTTGTGATACGAGGTACCATGAGCAGCTCTTCTTTTCTTTAGCCATATTGATGATTTGGAAGGGAGATACCACCAAGTTTAGCTGTGGTGAATCAAACATGACAGTATCTTAACAATTTTTGGTGCATTCGTTTTACCCATATTCCCCTTTTACCTTAGGGATAATTGCATCTATACCCCCACTTTAAATGCCAATTGCTGTTTTACCCCCACTTTTTAGGGTTTGCAGTTTTACCTCCACTTTTTGAATCTGAACCAGCTGTCTACCCTCAGTTGTGACAGCCATTTGGTGGGTCCCGCGTTTTGAGTTAAAGAAATACAAAAGAAAATTAAAAAAAGGTTTTAGGAAATATGAAATTACCTATGTACCCCTGAGGGAATGGATAGGATGGTGAGTCTGTCCTCCCACCCCCTGCATCGGTTTCGGGCAAAACCCTAGCGCTGGGCGTGCGCGTGGGGTGACGCCTGCGACGACGAGGGCGCGCGCGGAGGCGGCGGCTGCGGGCGAGCGCAAGGCGAGGGATGAAAACGGAGCGGATAGTTTCCGTCCGCTCTGGATAAAAACGAATACGGATACCTTTCGGATCGGATAATTCTCGGATAGTTCGGATACGGATACGAATACGGATATTTTCTCTCGGATACGAATACGAATATGGTATCAGGGTTTCCGTCGGATACGGATAATAATTCGGATATCCGGTGAACAGTGCTATTCGGATATCCGCAGAAGCCACAAGACATACCCCATTTCTTTATAACTCTATGACCTTCAATATACTTTTTTAGATTTTAATAGTAGTTCATCTCTTAACACTAGTCCACATTATTAATATTATTTAAAATTTTAAAAATATTTATAAATTATACTATATTTTATATAAAATGAGCTAATTATATATGTTGATATTTGTTTCTATTAGAAGTTGAATTGGTTTTCGTGTTCCGAGAAAAATTTGTTTCCGTATTCGTGTCCGATCATATTCGATTCTTATTCGTATTCGAGATAGTCCGTATTTGTTTCCGTATTCGAGCTATCCGTATTTGTTTCCGTATCCGGCAAAAAATATGAAAACGAATATGGTATGAGCATTATCCGTCCGTATCCGCTCCGTTTTCATCCCTAGCGGCCGCGCGCGAGGCGGCGGCAGCGCCCGTGGGCAGGTGAGGAAGACGCTGAGCCGCTACGGCCTCGCCGAGTTCGAGCTATGCACCAGCGACGAGGCCTCCGCACTCGTCCCCTCCCTCCGTTCCGGCGGCAGGTTCATCGGCGACCCCGGAAAAAAGAAGATCGACAAGATGCTCTGTCTAATTTCTGCGTTATCTCCTACCTATCCATGAAAACCTTGTTAATTATCTTCTGGAGAGAAGGTGAATCATAATTAGGGCTCATTTGATTTGAATGCTCGTTGAGGTTTGTTCGATATCAAATCGATCTAATGTTTTGCTATGTATCAGTGTATAACCTTCAGGAGGAATGTACTGATTCATATAAACATTGAGTAGTGAGATCATGAAAACCTTGAAATTAAGTCAATATCTATCTAGTGACTTTTGAAAAGAAAAAGGAGGTGAATTGGAGTACTGATTCATATAATCACTTTTTATCTAGGGACAATTGCACCAAGGGTATAAATGTCATTTTCTCTATAACTAACACCATTAAAACCGGCTGTTAGAAGTGAGGGTAGACGGCTGTTTCAGATTCAAAAAATGGGGGTAAAACTGCAAACCCTAAAAAATGGGGGTAAAACAGCAATTGGCATCAAAAGTGGGGGCACAGATGCAATTGCCCCTTTACCTTAATGCTATTACCATTTTAGTTTCTGATCTATTGAGTTTTCCGACACTTTCATGAGATTATCTCCACCACCATCTGTAGTGTTCCTTTTTTTTTTTTGTGCGTGTGTGGCTCCTAACAGGAGGCTTAGAACCATCGATTTGTTGTGTGAGCATTTTGAATAAAAGGGTATACTCATGCTGTTTATCTTTTGTACATATCTGAAATTCTGAATCAACTACTATTAGATAATATATGCCTGACTGTCTGAGCTGATTGTTACGAAGTTATAGTAACCCCATATTCTATCTTCCCATTACCTTATTTAGAATGTATTCTTTTGTTCAAAGATATTTTGCTCTAATGCAGTGCTATCAGTAATCATTATTAATCTTAATACTATCATGTAGGTTGATGATTACAGCATGGTGAATTTCATCCCACTTGATTTAAGAAAAGAGAGCAGGTAATGCCGTTTTCCTTTAGAATCTCAGTACTTCACATTCTGAATTTCAGGCCTATGGATGCCTAAATTTTATCATATTTTGTTGCAAAACTCTTTTGGACTTGACTGATCGTGAGCCTTTACCCTATAAGTCCTACACATGCTACTAGCATGCATGCCAACTTTTCATGTATCGCATCTCTTGAAGACACATGTCCATCCTACTCCATAAAAATAATATGGTAGTGTCTGTGCTGTATATATCCTGGCTTCAAGAACTGCTATTTCGACTCCCTACTCTGGGTGGGGATTAGGCATTCCATCAGTGAACATTTTGTTTTATAAGTCAACGGTCGAACTTATAGCGCAAGTCTCAAGCAAAATATTTTAGTGAAATAAAAACTTAACATCAAGTTTGTAAATGTACAGATACCTGTTTGTACCGTGTGCTCCTCTTTTCATCTCTCTAACTGGCCCTGATTTCTTTTTCCAGCATTCAGTATGTGCTGTCGCACATCGACAACTGCATCCAGTATGGGGTAGACGCAGATGTGAAGGTTAGGGACTTCGATCCCGAGGACTAATCATTTGATCGCGTATGAACTAGTGAAAAATACTATAGCAGCATTATGTAGTGAACAGTAGTGATAGGACTACATAGTATTCAAGTAGGAGTATGCAGAAAGCATCGCAGGATTACAATGCTGTTTCCGTATGAGTCCTATCGGTTGATCAACAAGATAGAATATCTGCAACCTCCTGTATATCAAGCCGTACGTTTTCTGTGTAATCGGTTGACTGGTTGGCATTAACAAGCTGCTGCTTGCCAAAAAAAAAAAAATCTGAATGATTTCATACACGGTACCCGGATGTCTGTTTTCTCTGCCCGGGGATAAAACGGATAATATGCCACTTCATACTCAAGGTTTCAACAAGATGTCACCCACTAGAATAAACCAGATAAAATGCCACTTGATACAATGTTTTCAGGATAAAATGCTACTTGATATGTTGTTTTCAGGATACCTTGCATTCGCTGTTAAACGCTCTATTGTTTCGTTCGTTCCTTGCAAATCACCCGAGCTACTAGAATGGCAATGGTGTCAAACTGAAATGACAATAGCTACACATTTTTGTTGGTATTATGGATAGCGATGCATCGAATTTCTTTTCTTTTGGATTGAACAAGCCGGCATTGATTCACATACTGCAAATTCATTTTTATATGCTCTAATCAAGGACTGGATCTCTAACATACAACTGAATGGCTTTTGCATGCACTATCCCTGAGAAGGCACATTTTAGGAAGAGGGCCTTTTAATTGTAGCGTACATCGGAGTAGGATGTGAAGAAAAAATGCAACTGATTCAGCAAGAACTCATCTTGGAAGGCAGAACTAGTATCAGCAAGGCCAGAAGCTGGAGAATTGTTAGGCAGAGGAAGATTTGGTCCAAGCTGTGATACATCTTGTTAGTTTTTTTTCCCCTTCACAACCGATTGTTGCCAACTTCTCTTACTGCGGTTTGCTAATTGCTCCCAACTTGCGAAACAGATGTTTCACCTGCATCTCCGCATCACCAAAGTAAAGCTCAAAATAAGTTGAGCACTGAGCAGCATTAGGCTAAGCATGAATCGATGAACAATATAATTCAACTAGTTGTCAATCGTAGTGATGGAAAATCGATAGGCCTTTGTGTTGGACAATTTGAACTACAGAGCAAATGAAAGGCAATGGAAGAAAATGGAAACTGCATGGAGTACTATGTTAATCAAGTCAATGGTATAGACCTTAAACTTCACGAGCTAACAATAATATTTTTATCAAGGGAAATTCGACAGATAAAAAAGTAGCCAGAAGAACGAAAACAAGAAAAGAAGGTAACATTACATCCTGCTTCTTTTTTAGGAAAAAAAACATTTTCAAATACAATATTTATTTCTTACCGATACAAATTGATAATCTCGGGGTTACAGATTTGATTAGAATATATACTTGCTATAAACAAGTAGGAACTTTCTTACACCTCAAGTGATAACCTTACAAGACTAACAATAAAATAAAAATTTGATCGCAAAACACAGAAATCGCAAAAGATGTGCTCTTCAGGTATTCTACGCTAGACATGGCTTCCTGCATCTATCCTCAAGCAGCAGAATCTACAACTTCTGCCGGTGGGGACTAGGGAGAAAGGAATGCATCGAATAGCCTAGGTATTTCAGTATCTGATCCCTTTTGCAACCTCAAAGAAATGGGCAACATTTTCCTCAGGAGTGCCTACCTTAATGCCATGACCAAGGTTCAATACATGCCCACTATTACCAGCTTTCTGCACAGTGTCAAAAATCCGCTTGCTTATGAACTCTTTTGACCCAAAAAGAACGCCAGGGTCAACATTCCCTTGAACCGCTATGTTAGATCCCAATCTTTTCCTCCCCTCAGCCATATCAACCGTCCAGTCCAAGCTAACAACATCAACACCTGTCAGTGGAAGCCTCTCCAGCAGTCCACCAGATCCACTTGCATATAGTATCAGAGGCAATTCAGGATGTGTTTCTTTGACACTATCCACAATCTGCTTCAGATAAGGCAAGCTAAACTCCTCAAAATCAACTGGGCTGAGTTCTGTAGCCCATGAGTCAAAAATTTGGACAGCTTGTGCTCCGTTGTCAGCTTGGTATTTAATGTAGTTAGCCATGGACGTAGTAAATTTCTGTAGCAAATTATGCAGAATCTACAAGAATATAGATATTAAGGTCAAATTTGCCCACATGAACAGATAAATGAAGGGAAATTAATCTAAATATGACTCCCAAAATTTCGTTCATACCAAACAATAAGCAAGCCAACAATGATAGTGAACCTCATATGCATCACGTTAACAAAATATAATAACGCCATTTCATCATTTGCAATACTTTATCAGACAAAGTCAAGTATAATATTTTAAAATCCATGCTAATTACCTAGGACTGTCAGCAGGCTGCATAACCTTTTTTTTTTCAGGGAAGGTTGATTAATATTCAGTATTCTATGTGCTCACAATCAGCGCCATTATAAAAGAAGCAACAGGCAGTTGTCTATAATGGAAGAGAACTCATGTACTCTTTTTATCAGCAATAGGATTGTGTCAATACCTCTGGTTCTGAGAAGGCCATTTTCTTAATCTTTGAAAAGTTTTTTGATGAACCTCCTTCAACACAATAGGATGCCAATGTAAAGGGAGCTCCAACAAAGCCCAACACGGCAGCTTCATTGTTAACCTGAGGAAGGAAACAGTGGGTGTCACTCCAATGAAATAATTAGTACACAAAACAAAGCACAAAAAATGATCATAGATTCTAGTTAACTATATATTTGCAGAATTCTGCAAGTTTAACTAAATAACTTAGTATACAATTGTGCTCGCAAGCAACTGTTCACTTTGCATACACAGGCCACCAAATCCAACAGTAGTACAATGGGAGTGTTTTGAAAAAGCATTGCAACGTCAACTGCTGATGTCATCCCTCTCCAGCACAACCTCCCCAAATTGTAGTTCATATCTCATAAAACAAATATGGAAGAACACTATTGCCATAGAGGCATGGAATTTCATCTGTGCTATACGATCTGCACTCTCCAATCTCCAGAATATATCAGCCCTGAATCTAAAAGTCAGTAATGGACTAATTGTTTGATGCTAAACAAGGATCAGAATAATTTATAGTTTTTCAATAAAATGCCAAATTCCAAGTAACAGTGGAGCCATGAAGCCAATCCAAAAGAATGGAAATGAGCTTCCAAGTTTTAGTGATTACATTTCCATCTTTTAATTAATCTAAAATATTGACTTGACAAACTCCAAGTAATGCCATTTTGAGAAAACAGCACAAAAAATCAGCATTATAAGGTAATTGATCAATTAGAGTGTAACAGTTCAAAGATTGTAGGCTGACAAAGGAAGTGAAAATAAATGATCAGCTACTTTTTATGATGTAATGCTCTCCAATAGGCCATCTATTTCCAATCTCCGAAGTTGGATTCTGAAAGTCAATACTAACCTCTTCCCGCAAAATGTTTAAAGCCTGCCCAACATATGGGACCCACTCCTCTGGAACAAATTCTCTGACCTCATTCACAGCAGCTGCTGTTCTCAAGGGATCAAATATCACTGGACCTTTTCCTTTCACAATGTCAAAAGGTATGTTCATCCCAGGAAGCGGTGTAAGGATATCTGAGAACAGGATAACCTGGCAAAATCAAATTAAAAACAACAGCATCAGAGGAGATAGCATCAATAACAGAGCATTAGATATTATAGGCAAACAACATCTCAAATCCACGTAAGCTTCTTTTCTCATTTTTTTTCATGCAAAAGCTTCTTAGATAGCCACAAAAGAGGAATTACAAACAACATACAGAAAGGGCCAAAATCTGCAGCTTACTCCATCGGGCTTGAAAACCTTCCATGGTTGTAGAGAGATCTCAACAACAAGGTCAACATTTTCTGATCTTTCACGGAATGAAGGATGTCGCTCGCAGAGCAATTGATAGCTCTGTTAAAAAAAAGAACGGCAAGAAGTTGGTAAGGAAAAAGGGTCCTGATTGTAAGGATTGTTGCAACACGAAAATAAAGTATTACTTCAAAGAATGGGCATTTGTCACGATTCAAACAACTGGAGCTTGCTATTAAGTATTGTATACCATGGAATAAACTGTTTCATGTTTACCGATGCCTGCATTAATGTTCTATTGATTCATTTGTTTTCTGTAAACTTACCCCACTTTAATGAATCCGACGACTGTACAAGAAAAAGAGAAAATTGTGCATAAGGGAGGTTCCAGTAATAGGATAGTTTATGAGTGGTCACTAAGTTTGAAAAAAAAATCAGGAAGTTGATGTTTGTCAATTTCTAGCAGTTACCGAGATATGGTCCACATCTTACTTGAAACGCGATAACAATTGCAAGCAAATTGGAACATCTTCCTCTAGTTGCACATTTGGATGCAAATTACTCTGCAATGCAGGAGAAAAAAAACGAATTAGAGTAAACCTGCCTTCATGTACCTCCCGGCCTGCCTCATGAGCCAGACCGGCGGTCTCTCGACCTTCCTCCCCTTGATCGCGCTCACCAGCAGCGGCTCCTCCGCCGTCCCGACCGCCGCCGTCTCCGCCATAACCTCTGAAAAACACAACCACCCCCCGGAACGAGACCATCCCCAAACCCATCACCAATCAAACTCCGCCTCAATCTGGTGTAAACAAACAAACGATACAGTGGATTTACGGCAGGCGCTGACCTCCGACGGCGCTGCAGCGGACGGCGGGCGGCGGGCGGCGCGCGCGCGCGGACCTCCCCGAGAGGTAGGCCGGCTGCAGCGAGAGCGGCGGGCACGCGGTCGCCATTGCAGGAGGGATCCGAGCTGCTTCTGCTGCTGCTGTGCTGCCGGATTGGGGTGGGCAGCGTCTCGGCGAGAGACGACCTGGCAAAGCAAAGCTAAATGGAAATCGGAAATGGATGGGTAGGTGGGGCCCACTTGGATTTCAGGATCAGGTGAGCCGCGGCCGCAGATGTGCGGACGAGATCGACGATGGTTATGGGCCCTCGTGGTCCCCGCATCGGCCCACGTATGGACTGGGCCGAGGAATTTCTCATGCAGGCCGCCAGGCCGGCGAATTTCTCAGAAATTTGGCAAAAATTGAGCACTTTCTCGTCGGATGCGGTCGAATTTACAGCAAAAGGATGACCAAACATGTAAACCTACACAGCAGCTTTGAGTTGAGCACCTACTGTACTTCTGTATCACACAATTCAGACGAGGAAAAAAAAGGAAAAGAAAAGAAAAGAAAAGGAAGTAATTAAACACGTTGTTTTGGGTGACCATATCATAGCACGTAGACCATGCCGACCTCGAGCAGCGACGCCGGCGGGACGCGGAGGGCGACGTCGGGGCCGCGGCAGTTGCGGCGGAGGAAGTTGTAGCCGACGTCGACGGCGAGCCTCTTGAGCAGCGACGACCCGGGCTTGCACTGCACGTGGGAGTGGCCCAGGATGAAGGCCGTGCCGGCGTCCCTCGCCGCCGCCAGCGCCTCCAGCTCCTCCGCCACCTGCTTGTTGTCCGCCGCCTCCGGGCTCGCCACGTGGCTGTCGATGAAGAACCGCACCTGCTTCGCCCGCCCGCCGCCGCCGCCGGGGCTCCCGTCGTCGTCGCCGCCGCCGCTTCGTCGGCGCGTCGTCGTCGTCTCCACGGACGCCGCCGACGAGTGCTGGACGCTGTCCTGGATGTCGTAGCTGGCGTGGCTGCTCCCGATCACGGCGAGCCGCGTCCCCCGCTCCTCCTCCGGTTCGTGATCGCCGCCGCCGCCGCTCGCGTCGCTGCACCGGTACGAGGCGTCGAGCTTGATGAAGGTGGCGAGGCTCTCGACGAGCTCCGTCTCGAACGAGTCCACGTCCTGGTGCACGTCGCGGTAGCCGTAGCGCACGATGCACCGGTAGGAGCGGTGGCCCGGCGGGCCGACGCGGCCGATGAGGTAGCGCTCGGCGGGGAACACGTACGGCACCGGCACCGACTTGACGCAGACGAACACCAGCACCTGGTGGAACGCCGGGAGGTTGGTGACGAAGCGGGAGAAGTTGGCCGGCACGCCGGAGGTGAGGTCGGTGTAGACGAGGCCGATGCCGGGGACGCGCACCATGCCGAGCTTGTCGCCGAGGGCGAGCAGCCACTCCAGGGTGACCTTGTTGTGCAGGTCGAACTCGTACTTCTTGATGGTGGTGTAGTGCCACACCAGCATGACGGCCATGAGGAAGAGCGCCAGCAGGATGGGCAGCCACGCGCCCTCCAGGAACTTGATGAGCGACGCCGAGAAGTAGAGCGCCTCCACGGAGCCGAAGAAGAGGAGGAAGCACAGCGCCAGCACCGGCGGCCTGCGCCAGCACAGCATGATCACCAGGGACGTCAGGCAGGTGGTCACCAGCATCACTGTGATCACAGCCAACCCTGCAGGAAAAACAAACTTGTCACAGTAATCTGATACCCCTTTTTTTTTTATAATACCAGTATGTATTTCTGTTCTTTTTCTGGATGACAATGTTGCAGTGTGCAGTGTTGCATTTGCTCTGCAGCTAAAAAGGGTTGCATGATTTGCACTGCAAATTTTCTACAGCTAAAAGAGTAGAGACCCAAAAAAGCAACTAAAAATATGGTATTTTTGTGCATAACACCCTAGCTGTCAAGTGATCAATTCAGAAATATTTCAAAAGAATTCAAGGAATTTCAGTCAAATAATTACTCTAGCCATCAGATTGTAAAATTTTGATGCATGGGACTTTCACTAGTGCTGGTATTGACAACAAGTATGAAACTACAAAGTAATTGTGAGTAGTTTTTTCTTACCAGAGGCGTTCCCCATGTGCTTTGTGTCTCTAAATCCAACAGTCACAGCAATGCAGAGGATCATGAGCAACCAATTAATCTCAGGGATATATATTTGGCCATGAATTTTATCAGACGTGTGTACGACTTTCACTCGAGGGAAACAACTTAAGGACTGGCTCTGGTTGATGATTGAGAATGTTCCGCTGATGATCGCTTGGCTTCCGACCACTGAAGCTAAAATCGCCAGTACAAGCACAGGCCATCTCACCTTATCTGTAGTTTGATTATAAATATATGCAAGTTTATTTTTTTTCCAAAGGAATAGAATGTTCTAACATTAAAGTTGTTAACACTAGTTCCATCATAGCTTACAAGTATCATGATCTGCAAAGCCAAGATATACCTGGAACTGCGATGTAAAATCCAACTTGGGAGTTCGAGTAAAAGTCATGATGCTTTGATAAGTAAGCCGCTTGACCCATGTATGCCAGAATGAGAGCGGGGTACACTAAAGAAGTGAAAGCAAGCTGTGATAAATTAAATGATTAGCAGTTTAGTGCATAAGGTTACTACAGAATGTGTTATGGAGAGATTTTCTTGCAGGATCACCAAATTACCTGGATCGCACTATATGAGAAGTGTCCAAGATCAGCAAACATTGCTTCCGATCCTGCATCGTCAGTCGAGCTAGATAGTTAGCTGAATTTCCTTTATTCAACATTTCAAAGGAAAGACAACTTATTTTCTTTTCAAAAAGAAAAAAAGAAATAAACTTCTAAATTATGTTTACATTATACAACTCAGATTTTTAGAAGCATATTGTAGCTCACCTGTCATGCAGAGTAAAATCCCACCAAGTGACATCCAACCATATTTTCTTGTCTTTTTTAAGAACTTGAACATGTAACAGGGATTTAGAGCTTGGTAGACATGAGGATTCCAATGTATAATATTATAAAGTCCAAGAGCACTCATACAGATTAGCCAGGCTAGAACTATCGGGGCAAAGAGAAATCCAACCCGATGAGTACCGTAATGCTGCAGAGCAAACAGGAATGCTAATATGACGCAGGTAATCGGAATAACAGCATCTGCATGACAAGGGGATCAATTATCAGGGCCAAACAGGAGGTTTGAACTGGAAAAAGAAGGCCAAATGTCATTGCAGAATAAATAGAAGTGTTTTTGGCCCAACAGCAGGATACTGGCTTCCATTTGTCAATAAGAACTTGTGATTCAGTAGTTGGTTTTGTTATGATCTAGATGCTGGCCATTTTATCAACATTCTCGGCTCGATATTAAGTTGCTGTCAGCTGAGCTTACCAAACGGGCATAGAAAAGACCAAGTTTCTAAAATTTGGTAGCTTGTGGTCACTCAGTCACCTCGGTACCTCAACTATAGAGACTTTCTATCTACTAAAGCGTGGATGTACACAGTACACCACTCATTAAATTAGAGTCATTTTGAACTCGAATTTGAGGGCCTCAGGTAACTGCTAGAAACTAGAGTTGCTCATATGTTTTTTAAGCTTTTGCACTTCACCTAAAAAATTAGATATGAATATACAAGCATGTAACACATACAGTTTTTATGTATATAGGCTCGAGAACTAAGCAAATAATGTTCCTTGCTTTAGAGTAGCTACATTGTCCGTATGAACTTAAATGAGCTGAGCCTAGTGCCAACATGCTTTTCTCTGCCACCAATAAACTTAATCGGGGACATGGGAACTAGATTAATCCTTTTTGCTTGCAATCAGTGTCTTTTGTTGATCATAAACTAAATCCAAACATCTAGCAACGATAGGGAAAATGACTTTTTACAAGAAAATAACTTGGAAACTTACATTCACGGTGGTCTTTGGACAAGGAGAATTCAAGACCTGAAACTGCCGAGAACACTGAGAGATATGAAAGATTGAGGGGAAAGTGAGCATCCGGTCATCAAATCTGTGGAAAACAGACAAGCAGCCCTAAGAAAAGAAGCTGAGGATACCGGATATAGCTGGCGTGAGAACACCGTCCCCAATCACCATGCATGTACCAATCAAAACCATGATCAGCAGGGCGGTATGCAGCTTCTTGTGCTTCTCAAGCCAGACCTTGATGCAGGACTTATCGGTTCTCTCAGAAGAGCATTCCAATTTGTAAGTGGAAAGCTCCTCATCAGCAATTTGCCTATTAGGAAGAAGGCTCACATTGGCATGCCGGCAAATTAGCGAGTACAGAGCAAAAGTTCCTCCTGCAAGAACGCGAAACTTGCAAACTTAAACGCTTCGCGAGCAAAGCAAGCACAATTGGTCATGCCTACTAGAGTTATCCATACCCTCGCCATTGTCGTCAGCTCGTAGGACAATGGAGACATACTTGATTAGAGGGATCAAGGTGAGTGTCCAGAACACGAAAGAGAGCACACCAAAGATCTCCTCGTTCGTCTCGGAGTGCTGGATGTCCTCAGCAAAAGTGCTCTTGAACACGTAGAGAGGAGATATGCTCAAGTCTCCATAAACCACCCCCAAGCTCTGGTACGCCAGGAGCAAGGTTGTCTTCCATGAGTCCCTCTGCAAGAACCCACAGGCTAATCAATAAATTCAACAAGCATTGCTCCTCCATCTCACAAACAGTGTTCAGAGCTACTAGAAATTCAACAGTTAGCAAAACAAACAAACAAACAAACAAACCTGTGGGGATCTCATGCCTCTCCCAAACTCAAGATCCATTGCTCGGCCAAGAACCTATCCTGTGTAGTACATAAGACCCAGCTCTCCTACTCCAAGAAACACACAATCTTACATAAACTGTCACTCCAAAAACCGGAACCAAAACAGAAGAGAAAAAAAAAAGGGCACCTAAAAACCCGGGAAAAACGCAGCCAGAATCGAGCTAGGAGCTCGGCTCAAGAGGCCGAACAGAAGATGAGGATAGGGCTAAGACCAGCCGACCAGACAAAAGCAAAACTGCAAAAAGACGTACACATGCAATGGTGAAAAGATGGTGGAGCCCCCTCCTCCATGGCCGGGACTAGGAGCAACCGATGGCGAGACGCGAGGGAAGGAAAGCCACGTGTTCCGGACGGAGTCGCAGACCCATCACTAGTAGGAGCAGTAACTAGCTACCACTCTTATTAGCTCATTCACTCGCTGAGACTGACCACCAAGAAGAGGCAAGAAAACAGATGGAGTACTATACACATACAGTGGCAATAATACTCGCAAAGTACAAAAGCAAAAACAAAAGCGAAGAAAAGGAGGATGGGCCAAGAACTAAAACTACTCTCCTTACCGAGTCACATCCACTGATCTACAAATCCATGGATGTAATGGAAATGGAAATGTGAAGCCGGTGAAGTGTGCAGAGGAGCAAGTAGCAAACCATGTGAAACCACGGACAGATGCATGTGGTCTCCGTCTCCCGACTTTAAGGCAGCTACTGGAGCAAAGCAGGGCCATGAAAATTGCCTGCTACTACGTCAGTAATTCTGTACCGTGCCCTGATCCAGGAGAAACAAAAGTTGGAATTTTTCTGCTCTTTTCCTTCCCCCCACCCCCATTGTGTAGTATTTGTGGTGTGAATGAGTGTGACCTTCTCCTAATAATCCAGCGATGCTACCACAAGTTAATGTAAGGGGCAAGTGGTCATCAGTGCTCTAATCTGAGCTCCGAGAGGTCCTTCTCCCGGGATTTCTGTCTGTTTCTTGGGGGAGGCCTACAGGAACGCAATCTGCGTGGGTATCTTCTTGACAAGGCAAGGATTGGATGGGCCAACGAGGTCTACGTCGACAATGAACCAATGCTAAGCTAACAGATCAATCACACAACTCATGGCAGATTAGGAAGCAAAAAGAGTTGCTCGGGCATCTTCCTACTTAATCCAAAACTAGCATATATGAAACTAAAAAACGCAATCTTTTTCCTCACCTAGACTAAACAAGACAAAAATGTCATCTCTTGATTCTTCTCCTCACCTAGACTAAGCAAGATAACTGAAGTAACAGCACAAGAGCTCCAATCCGAATACAGTGGAGACAAAAAAACTGAAGAGACTCTTCTAGACCGCGTCCTTGTGTTATTATTGCCACCACTAACGCACAAGCGTTTTGTAAGAAGAAATAAAGCAGGAAAAATTATGCAGAGCGGTTCAGGACAGGCAAAGACTTATCAGCCACCCACCCAACCCCCCGAGTATTAACTCCAGATACGGAGTCGGCATTAATCTCGATCAATAAATTCCAAGAAAAAAATAACCAATCTAATTCTGTACCGGGAACTCCAGGGAAGAAGAAGAAGACGAGATTTTGCTGCATTTGCACGCCTAAAGAATGCCGCTCTCCGGTTCTCTCCAACTCCAACCAGAGTAGAATAGAGAGCGAGAGATCGAAACGTATAGGATTCTACTACATTTGTAAGGTAAACGGCGCATCTGCATCAAGAAATCCATGAAAGTTGGGAGAGGCATTTTGTACCTGCAGCACAAAACACGGCGAAGCAGGATTAGTAGCAGATCGAAGCAGGGCCGGCCGGCCACTCCTGCCTATCTCCTCGTGGACGCCGTCGCAATGCCGTGGCGGACAGCAGCAGCAGCAGCGTCCATGGGGCGCTCCAGCTGAACAGGAGAAGAAGAAGAAGAAGAGGACACTGGCTTGGCTCCTGTGGCCCTCGCTCTACCAGTGGGGCCGTGACATCACCGTCGTCGAGTAGACGACAATGCCACCGAGTCCAGCTCCAGCATACGACTAGTCGACCTTGCGAGTGGACTCACAGTGTGACAGGGTCGCTGCAGCTAGCTGGTGAGGAAAAAGGCCGAGCAGATACCGAGGGAGGTGTCGTGTCGGGGAGCGCGGCGAGCGTTTTGTTTAATCCGTTTTGATGGGGGAGCCGGGCCGGGGTGGTCACTTTCTCGTGATGGCTTGGGCACCGGAAAAACCAGAGTTGGTGCGGCCGGTCGCGACGCCATGCCAACCAGCCGGCGGGCGCGTTAGGCCGGAAAACCAGCGGACGAACGATTTGTAGCTTTGGACGGTTAGCCATCTTGCCGGTTATTCCTTTTTGGAGAAGGGCTAAAAAAAGTTGTGCCCAATCGCCTTTTGTAAGAAATCCACTTGTGGTATCGTGAATTCCTTCCTAACCCTGCCTACCCATCAACTCTTCTCGTCTTCTTTTCTACTCCTATAGTAGTACTTGGAGCTACTGGATTAGTACTATTTTTTATTGAGGGAAAACAGGATTACTATTTAGGGATGGAAGTCATGGTAAAATTCATTGACAGCTCCTATAATTGAAATAAGGTCGACAGCGACAACTAACTAGTGGTGCATATCACCATGGTTGAGAAAGGAAGAACACATTTTTAGCGCTCAGGCATATATTAAGAAACAATAAATATAGTAGAAATCGTCCATAAAAGAAAGAACTCATGCTCGGTGTCTAAAGTTATTTTGGAAGATGACAATTGTAGCGAAAAAATCTATAAAAGAAAGAATGGGTGCATAGTATCTAGCCATATCATGAAATGATAACCGGGACAAATATCGGTTATGAAAGGAAGAGAGCATGTTTAGCACCTACAACCATGTTAGGAAGTAAGAAAAGAAATAATGGTAGTGGAAATTAGCTATTTTGTGGAACATGTGAAAGTGGGTGAGAAAGTCGACTAGGAAGGATGGAGAGAAAAGAGGAAATTATTTATTTCTTTACATGAGAAGACGAAATTCCAAGACTAAGAGGTTGGGGCTTTCATAGGAAAAAATATGAATTACCCCCTATCCCCGAACTATATCGGTCGACCAAATTATCCCCCCTAAATCTGAAAACCGGACATTATTCACCTCCAACTATGCAAACCGGACGAATTACCCCCTCGACCCAATCCGCGGTGGTTTTGGTCTACGTGGCAGTTCAGTCAGCAATTCTTTTATAAAAAGCAGGTGGACCCCACATGTCAGTCTCTCTCTCTTCTATCTCTTTCCCAATCTCTCTCTCTCTCTTCTCTCCAACATGGGCGACGCAGAGGCAACGGTGAGGTGAGGTGAGCGCGGCGGCAGCGACGGCGAGGCAGGGCGGCATAGGGGGTGGGCGCGAGCAGCGTCTGAGTGGCGAGCGGCGACAGCAAGGCGAGCACGACGGTGGAGGAGGCGAGGCAGGGCGGTGCAGGGGCGCGGGCGCGAGCGGCGTCCGGGTGGCGAGCGGCGTCTGGGTGGCGAGCGGCGGAGGAGGCGAGCGCGGTGGCCGAGGATGAGCTCCTCCTCCCCTCACCGCCGCCATCGCCTGCAGCGTCGCCCCCACCCCTCAGCCACCGCCCGCCTCTATCCTCGACGTCACGAGTGGCCTCCGCCACCACCTGCCGCCATCCCGCCGCCCCAAGCTCCGTCCGCCCCCGCCGCCGTTCGTTCCACGCGCGCCGCCGCCTCTCCGCCATGGCCACCGCCATACGCACCGACGCTTCCGCCTCGTCTGCGTCACCCTCATCCCCCGCCGTCGCCGCCTTCGTGTCACCCGCCACCGCCGCCGCTGCTCTGTCCCCCGCCCGCCGCCCGTGAGAGAGAGAAGAGATAGAGGAGGAGAGAGAGGAAGAGTGAAGAGGAGTATGACAAGTGGGTCCCACAAATTTTTTATAAATAGAATGTTGACTGGACTGCCATGAATACGCCACGTAAACCTAAACCACCGCAGATTGGGTCGAGGGGGGTAATTCGTCCAGTTTGTATAGTTGGGGGTGAAGAATACTAATGTGTTCGGGGGGAGGGGGTTAGTCGTACTTTTTCATTTCCGGCTTTCATATAGGGAGTTGCTATAAGACATTTGACAGTTTTGTAAAAACTTCCAAACGTAACTAGCTGAAGTATAATTAGATCATAATAACTTATATGTAATTGCCTAATTCGTACCCCCATGCACTCTTGTTCCCAAGGTTGCGGCTTAGAACCCCATCGGTGCATGTCACAATAGATGACTCCCTTGCACGAATCTCAATGTCATGCAACGATCCACAAAATTGAAAGTTTTAAAAGAAAAACCGTTAATAGTTTTTTTTAGCTAATCCATTTCATACATGACGAACCTATACTAATATAAAAAACATCAGTTCATCGAACTCAAATGTTTTTTTATCCTTATATTTGTTCATCCAACGGTCCATAGAGTTGGATTTACCCCTCAATTAGCGATCCCCATCTCAAGTACGCAGCAGTTAGCGCAAAAATAAAAGAAAACAATTAGTCTCCCACGTCTAAACAGCAGTTAGGATCGGTCAAAGCAAAAAAAAAAAAAAAAAAGGAACGCTCCCTTTTGTGCGCCAGCCCGCCGCCGCCTCCTCCCGCCGGAGCCGCTCAGCTCCTCCTAGCGCGCGCCAGCCCGCTGCCGCCGCCTCCCGCCGGAGCTGCTCGCCTCCTTCACGTGCTCGCCCGCCGGAGCCGCCTCACCCTACCCACCGCTGCCTGCTTCCCTGCTCGCGCCGCGCCGTGATGGAGAGGAAAGAGAGGCGGGGTCTGCTCGCCCTACCCCGCCGCCTCCTCGCGTGCGCAGGCCGGACATCCAGGCGTCGCCGCCGGAAAGGGGATATGAGGTGGCGGAGATTCTTGCTAGGAGGAGGAGAGGGGGCCATTGGAGGAGGGCTAGAGGTCGCTGCGCATGGCCCGTGGGCGGTGGAGAGATGAAGCCAGGAGGACGTCAGCGTCGGCGAGGTTGACTGGGCAAGAGGCGAGCGTCAACAGACGTTCCAGGGAGGAGCAGTCCGCTGGCGCGGTCGCATGAGAGGGTGCCGACCGGAGGCAGAGCCGAGGACCCCTAGGACCGCACCCGCGCCACCACTGCTGCCATCGTCAACATCCTATATGATTTTTCGTTGTTGTTGTTATCAGGGATGCGCTGGAACAAGGGCACAGGACCAGGGCCGCTGGACATCATCGATGCTAGCAGATAAGGACACCAACAACAGTTGAGGTTGATGTTCCATATTCATGCTTGCAATGTGTTTGATGAAATGTTTAACTAGCACTAGCATCATCTCTTGTTTACAATTTGACTATTTGTATTGATGTCATACTAACCAAATTTCAGGTTGATTGTTTACTGCTTTCAAATTAACAATTCAATGGTTCTTGATGTGTTCTACTTAACCTTTGCATTTGTAGTAGTGTAATTCTGAAGGTACAAAACACTATTTCTACTGAACTTCGTCAATTTAAGCAAAACTTTTGAACATATGGTCATCCATTGAGGCTCCCGCAATTCCAGTTTGCATGTTCTGCCACCATTTTGGATCATATTTTCCATGCTTATGGAAGGACTTAATGAACTGAAGTAGTTTGTGTTGGCAGTGATCTCCATTGGATATCCCGTCTCTTCAGCCGGTCGTCAATGATACAACCAGGTCACGCATGAGGTAGCAGTCCACTCCAACCCACCTACTGAAGACTTGTCTCATTTGGTTTGATTGATGCGTGGAGTGAGGCACATGCTGTCCAGATCAAGGTACAGGCAAGTCGGTTTCTTGCACTTAATTTTTTTTCATGCTATTTGTGAATGTTGGGGATTTCTATTCATGGAGAAACAATGTTTTTATTTTCCTTTTATCAGTGTCATAGCGTTCTTCAAATCCAGGGTAGTATTATACGGATTTTATCTATTTTGCATACATTGTGCCTGTAAATTTTTGCATGAAAATGTATCCAAGAGCACAAGTAATTTCGAGTGTAGTAAATTAGTACAGGTTTCTCTTGAGAAATAAAATCTTTTCTCTCAAGAAGTCCAATATTAGAATGTCTACTTAGATAAATGTGTGTTTTCTTAGAAAAAAGTTAATTTGTAATATAGTAGTAAAATCAATTAGGATTGTCAAGTCAAGGCATAATAGTAAGATTTAGTTCGCACAGCTAGCCCTCTTAATTTCTATTAGTGCCACCTACTTCTTAATTTCTTACGCTGATGTCTGACAAAATTCTGTTTGGTTCCTTTCTGCAGTAGAACATCAGCTTATGAGATCTGAAAGCAACAAAAGGGTACCAATTTTACACCCATGTAAAATCCAGTGATTTCAGTCCATTCTTTGTGGCTATTTTCATACTGCATCTTGGCATTTGCTATCCGTTTAATATGCTTGGCAAATGAACTTGAATTAGTACAAGTGGATCTTTAGATTTGTATGTAGAAGGTCGAGATGTTTGCAAATGACATATGAGTTGAGTTGAGTGATCTAGAATTTAGTTCCTATAGTGGAATATGGATAGCTCCAGAAATTGATTTTTTTAGTCCATTTATTTTAAGCTCTACTATTTGTTAAGTTTATTCTCAAAATATTTAATTTATAGTATTATCCACAATAATTGGAGGGCAAAACTGACCAAATTAAAGTTGCCATATGTTCATCTGGAGTCTGAAAGCTGGCCTTGGTCTGCTTCATTTTGGTGTTGTTGTGACTCCAACCGGTGACCGGAGCCCGTACTCACCGCTAGCTACCATCCCCAACCTGCCCCAATCTTTCTCCAGGTTATGTTGCTAGCACTTGATCTGTACACGCTGTGGGATAATTGCTTGTTGACAAGGAAGATCAAATCCTGATGGTGGAAGAATGGCACCCCCTGTGCTCCAGCTAACAATCTGATTAGTTTCCTAGATGCTTGATTATTGATTTTATGTGTGATCATTTTATTTTGTTTTTGTATCAGGGCTGCATAGAGTATAAAAGCTTTGCCCCCCTATGCTTGCACTGAGAGACTCTTCCGTAGCTGTCATCGCATATAGTGTTGCAAGTATGTTCTCTATTATCTCAATGTGATTGCACGGGTAGCATATGTATTCTCACTAACTGCTCTTACACTAACAATGATGAATCAGACTAGCAGAGAGAGTTTCCAAGCAAATTTGATGGCACATGTCCACGAATTGTGATTTTTAATAGTTTGCATTATAAATGCTCATCTTTGTCCTGCCTCCTTTTTCCCTTAAATTTATTTACATGGTGTGGCAGGCAGTATCCTAAACACTTAAAAGTAGGACTCACTAAATTGAAGAAAAAACAAATAGCTCTACCTTGCTTATGATGGTCCTTCATATTGGAGCACATCTTCCATGGGTCTGTAGCAGCTCATCCTGCTCAAGGTTGACTATAAGTTTTGGTCAGTGAAGGGGATGTAATTAGTAATGGAATTAGAACACAGGTAACACTCGAGTTAATTAGTGCTTTGCTTGCAGTTTCAATGCTTACACCACAATTTCATTCTCTGCAATTACATTCACATTTTAAGCTTGGTTTTCTTCTCTACTCCCAATCACCAAACTCGTTTTTTTTAATGAAAACACAACTTGGTATTTGCAAGTTTTCTATCTGTTTTTTGCAATAGGAAAACTGTTACATGTTCTAGACAAAAATATCATAACAAGCTTATGGATGAACTTTGACAGGTTCCTTGACGAAATTTGAAGATGTAACCCGCCACCCATGTTTCGCAGCCATCGCCCATGGACTTGCCAAGTTTCTGGTGGTGCCCATTGTGGATGAAATTACTGATTGCCTGAAGTACTCAAAGTTTCATGAGTATAACAAAGATTACAGCTTGGGTATCTGTAAAGTGGTTATGTTGAGATAAAAGGACAATAATTTGAGATTTCTGTTTACATCTCAAATGTTCCATTTAATTTTTTTACGCTACTTTATAACTTCGCCTTTCAGTTTAAATCTCATAATATGCATTGTTTCTTTTATCCAGGATTGAATCTTCTAGCCTCTACAAAACTGAATTCATATTTCTTTCCTCTTCATTGTTAGTGTAAACAATACTCTTCAATATATGTTGACGTGCCTGGCATGTGCACGTTAACTAGTATCCAAACTATGAGAGCAAGGGTGGCATTGGCAAACTGCCAACCAGGCAACCATGTATTCAGCTTCCTGCGAACCTGGAAATAAATGTGTCGTGCAAATAAATGTATCCATTCCAAATTGTAAGGATTTATATTTTTTAGGTTCTTTAGCAAATATTATGGTTAGGTCAAACGATTTTTTTGAATCCATTTTAGTTGTGGATTTTAAAATTTTGAATTGCTTGGATTCCTCAATGAAGAATTGTGTTTGGAATCCTTAAAGTGATGGGAATTATGAGAATGGGAGTATTTCTTTTCTTTTCCTTTTTTTTAAACAAACGTACATCCAAGGTAATGAAACGATTCCTCAGTCTTAACGTTCATAACACCCGCTGGCAAAAAAAAAAGAGAGTAAATTTCACAAAACTACATGTTTTATGGTTCAAATTGCAGAAAACATTTTATGTTTTATGTTTTTTTACACATTTTGACACTTGGCACTCAAGTACATATGTTTTGGTAGTTTAGTTTCACAAACCACACTATTGATGAATGAATTTACCCGTGAGATGATGTGGTTGTTCCATATAAGATGAGGACGTGGCATCCTATTAATTTCGTGTGATGGCTGTTAATACGATGCCATGTCCTCGTCCTAGGTGAAACAGTCACATCATCTTGTGGGTGAATCCATCCATCGATAGTGTGGTTTTGTGAAACTACACTACCAAAACATATGTACTTAAATGCCAAGTGTCAAAGTGTGTGTGATTTTCTGCAACTTGGACCACAAAACGTGTAGTTTTATGAAATTTACTTTTAAAAAATAGTAGCATACCCTCAAAAACGGCCCAATAAGGAATGATTCGCATAGAGATGTACTTGATAATACAACGAAGGGTGTGTGGTTTAAACCCTCAGATCTCGTATACAATTCTTAACATGTTCAAAAAAAAAAAACAGAAGAACAGAAAACTGATGCGGCAGATGGGCCGGACCACCGAGACCGTCCGGCCTTCTCGGCACCGTGGGCTGGGGCTGGGAGGCGGGGCTCGATCGGTCGGATCAGAAGCCGCAGAAGTCCTTGTCGCTGGGCTGGCCCGGCTTGCCGATCTGCGTGCAGCCCTGGGTGCAGGCGTCGGCGCAGTCGAACTTGTTGGGCGCCGCGCCCAGCGTCATGCACTGGTTCTTCATGCAGTCGCAGAAGCAGTCCAGCTCGCCGGCGTCGCCGGTCGTCTCCTCCCCCTCCGCGCCAGCGCCCACCGCCGCTGCCGCCACCACCGCCGCGACCAGCAGCAGCGCCGCCGCCGCGGCTCTCCTCGACGCCATTGCGATCCCGGTTGATTCTCCCGTCGTGATCGGATCGGATCGATCCGGCAGGTTTAATTGGGGAAGGCTTGTGTTGGGCCATGGCGGAGGGGGGCTATTATGTGTTGGCATTTCAGCTGGGCCTACCTATTCTTGGGCATTTGGAACCATTGGTCAGGAGTGAAGCTTCCAAGGGAGGCAAATCACCGTAGGCCGGCGTTAGCAAAGCCGCGACAAAATCATGGGCACGCACACACTTGGTTGCACCGCGATTCACGCACGTACGCGTGCGTGGAAATCGTGCGTGCAACCCTTTCAACACGCGCGTGCGTACGTACGCTCTTGCACGATCGGGACAAACCGCTGGTAGGTACTATAGCATATCTGCATATGCATTGCTTGCAGAGGTAGAGCCGGGAAAAAAACGCGTCCCGTCGTGTCCGGGTTAAGCTTGGCCTGATGGCCTCCATCCATCTGCAGATCGATCGATCTGTCCCGGCAGGCAGGCCGTCGTGACAGTGTAGGCTCGCTCGCGCGCTCTCCCGGCAAGTCGATCTCGGCCTATACAAATGTAGTACAAATTATCGGGATAAATGGACCGGAAAATCGAACCGAAACGTACTCTCGGCTCGTCGCCAACGATCGAGCAGCCGCGACGCGCCCACTTCCACCGCGCAGCCGCACGCGAGCAAAATCTTCTCTCCGGCGCTAGCTGTCGCGACGCGGCGGCCGGCGAATCCGCCTCGTTGTCTGGCTAGCGCGCGCCGATCGAGACAAGGCGGCCGCTTTGATTCGGGGGATTGGGTGATTGGACCCTGTCGTCTGCAATCTGCATGCGTGTTGGTGGGCACGGCCGGTGGCATACGTACTCCCTCGGTCAAAAAAAAAAAAAAAGACAAACTCTGTTTCCGTGTCCAATATTTGACCGTCCGTTTCATTTAAAAAATTTATAAAAAAAATTAAAAAGACAAGTCGCGCATAAAATATTAATCATATTTTATCATCTAACAACAATGAAAATACGAATTATAAAAAAATTTCATATAAAACGGACAGTCAAAGTTGGATACGGAAACCCATAGTTTACCATTTTTTGAGACGGATGGAGGGAGTACGGGGCACCGTGGCAAACATGGCGCCTTCACGGAAAGCTAAGCATGCACGGTTTTTTTTCTTTTCTTTTTCACGCTGGAGATTATCATGTCCCTAGCTAGTACCCCTTCCCATCATGGATGGACCGATGGAGTACGCGTACTTGTGGGGTACGAATCTGGATGACATCCCGATTGGTCTCTCCATCATCTGGGAGGACGGAAGGCGCACGTACGTACACAGTCAGTACACATCGATCTCTATATCGATTGAGAGATTTTTTTTCTGTTTGTTTTGGAGAAGTGAAATGATCGAGAGATCATCGATCGTGCGCGCTGACGACTTCTCTCTTACGAGCAGGAGGACGGACGGACGCAGGGTGCACCCAACGATCCCGTCGCGTCATCCTTGCCGGCCGGTCGCGACCAATGGGCAAATTATACCCATCGATTGATGGAGCACGTACCTAATTACGTACGTGTATCTAAGCGCTGTGCTGTGCTTGTGCCTGACTGCCTGGCCGTGTATGACCAGTGACATGCGTGTTATGTCGACATCCGCATCATATCCGTGATGTTGGGTGCTGGTGTGATGTTATGTTGTGGACTTGTGTTATCAGTGCTTACCCCATGCACCCTCCATTCCTCCAAACATACTATGGAATAATGGATTATTGTTTCATGAGGCAGTTGTAATAAGCCGATGTATTGCCATTTCTAACAGGCGATTGTCTTAGACGCCTGCATCTAAACATTTCCCAGAGGTGATTTGTGACCATGATCACATTGATTTATTGCACAGGCGAATCATTTTTCTGACAGCCAGTTACACTGATATAGGGAGTGTTTGAAAATCGTTTTTTTTTAAGTAGCATGCTTTGTCGAATTTACAATGCAATTTTTCAAAAGAAATATATGTTTTGGTCTAAGTCAATATAGTTTGATGGAAAATCCCTAAGGCGGGCCTTAAAACCTCCTGGGCCGAGTTTATTAGGGCCAGCCTAATAAATGTATTGGCCATATAAAAAAAATAAGTGAGGCCATATACGACTTTTTTTTCTTTTTTCTTTTCTAAACTCTTATAGCTAATTTTGATGTCCATTGGATCCAGTTCTATCAATCTAAACCAATGGCTCTATTCCTTATAAATTGGACCCCCCCCCCTTTCGAACCCTAGTCCCTTCTCCATTCCTCCCCTCTTAGACACCGCCGCTGTCACCATACCAAACCCTCCGCCTCTAGCAAGGTCGTTCACTATCCCTTCGCTCTAGCCACCTCTCCGGCAAGCCATCTTATGCTTCCCTTCATCTTGTTGGGTGAGGGTCCCTTGTCCCATCATCTTGGTTGGCGTTATCAAATTCTCCATCGTTGATTCTTGTTGTCCTCGCTAATTCTATCACCTATAATTTTTCTTTTTTGTAGATCTATCAATGCTTGCTTTGCCAATCGATGACGATCACCACCCATAGTCCGGTAAGGTACCTCATGCCATCCTCCTCATCTTTGATAACACTGGTAGGTTCAACACCGCTGGTTCTTGTTGTCCTCACTAATTCTATCAGCTACCGCTTGCTTTTGTTTTTGTTTATAGATCCAGTCATGCCCATCTCGCTATTGCACGACCACAACGGACCATAGTCTAGTAAGGCCTCTCATACCACCCTCTTCCTCATCTTCAATAGCAGTATTAGATTCAGCTCCACCAATTCTTGTTTTCCTTGATAATTCTATCACCCATCGCTTGCTCCTTTTTCTACAGATCTAGCAGTAACCCACTTCACCGTCCACGACCACCACCGCGTAGTGCTCCAGTCTGGTAAGGCTCCTTGTTCCATCTTCTTCCTCATCTTGAAAATATTTTGGGATCCAACACCGCCGACTTTTCGTTTTGTTGTTATCCTCGTTAATTCTATCCTCAATTGCTCGCTTTCTGATATTTTTAATAGATCCAATAGCCCCAACTCACCGTTCCACGCCTATTGGCACCCGTAACTTGGTAACGCCTCTGGTTACATCGTATATCTTATTTTAGCAACATCGTTAGATCCAACACCACTTGTTCTCGTTGTCCTCGCTAATCATGTCATCTATAGCTTGCCTTTTTTTTTCTATCCAATAGTTCCTACCTTACCGCTCGACAGCTCGACAGACATCGTCGCTCATAGCTAGATTGCTATTCTGTGATGCCCCACACTTTTACCGCTATAGATAAAAGTGCAAGATTGTGAACTATTAATAAAGTATTGTTTTATCCAATAATAACCCACCATGAGATATCGCAATGGAGAAACAGGTAGAACTACTTTTAATCCATCCCTACAAGTCTGAAGGCCATCTCTATTCCATCTTATCCTTGCAAAGACATATACAAGAGGAATTATATAACAACGGTGAGCGCATCCGTACTCAGCAAGTCATTAGTAACAAAATATAAATGCATAAACAATAATTTATTTATCAATTTATATTCTATACCATACCTTTCGTACCATCATCACCTTCACTTTTCATCAAAAGTCTATATCTATCTTGTACAAGGGTTTTCAAAAAGAAGATTTTTGAAAAAACTAAAATACACTCGTAACATTGAGTAAAGTTTACATCAACTTCCCGTAGCCTCCAATCTAGGACGTGAGTCACAATTTAATAGAGCATTGCGCATGCTTGTATCATTGTACTCATATACACTCTAGATATTACTGTACATATTCCCTCAATCTTCCTATGAATCAAGGGGTCATTGATGAAATCTACGTGACCATGAATCGTGATATCTGATTTAAGGCTTATTTTGGGGAGTTTAAGATTTTGAGAAGCAACTGGTTGGTAGCCAGCTTTTGAGAATCTGGAAAAGCTGGGTTTTCCAGCTTTTGGTTTTTAGTTCTTTTTTTGGATTCTACAACTACAGTTTGATATAATCTTAACCAAAAGCTAAACTGTTTGGGGGAGTTTTGATTCTGGGAGAAGCTGTAGCAGCTTCTTAGTGGCCACCGCTTCCTCCCAATCGCAGCTAAAGAGAAAAGGGGGACAATGTTGCCCGAGGACGAACATGTTTTTTAATTGACTAGTAATAAAATATCTATTTTTTTAACTAGTCTCTATTCGCACATGTGAGAAATTCACCTCTTATTCCTACTCAAGGATTTCACTAAACAGTTTTTGCAACGCTTGCAGTATAAAACTTTCCTCCATCGCAAGCTTTTTGCCAAGGTGATCACCAGCTGAGCCTGTAAGCGCACGCCCACACAAACACTCTGGTCTGTGTCTCTGCCGCGCACCAGAGCGTGGTGGGTGTGTCTCTTGTCTCCCGCGCCCCCAGCCCACGCACGCCACGCGATGCCAGCCTCCTCCTCCTCCTCCCGCTGGTCATGGTTGCACAAGCTGAAGCTGCGGAGGAGGAGGAAGAAGAAGAGCAAGCGGGCGAGCCCCGCGTCAACGGCCCGACCCTCCGACGCGTCCGCCGTCCCCCCGGCGGCGCCACGCCAGCCACCGGCGGCGGCGGCGCCGGCCGGCGGCCTGAGCCCGTGCTGCTGCTACTGCCCCAACAGGGAGTCGTACTACCTCAACAGCGCCGACCGCGCGCGCCAGGAGGACAGGCAGGACATGTTGCTCCCGTGCGACGACGAGGTGGAGGAGGAGGAGGCTCTCGACGTCGGCGTCGACGTGGTCCACCGCCGGGCCGACGGCCTCGACGCGCCGCCAGCGACGCCGGAGCTCAAGCTGAGGCCCATCGTCACGAGCCGGCGGCACGCCGCCGCCGGCAAGAACGAGGCGTCGGACAGCTCAAGCACCTCGGCGGCCACGACGCCGTCTACCAGGGCGCGGGGGTTCCACGTGAGACCGACCGCCGCCAGCAGGAGGCTGCGCCGCGTCGGCAGCAGCGGCGGCGGCCACGACAGCAACAATGCCGGCACACCGGTGTCGGCGCCGGCGCCGGCGTCGTCGTCGTCGTCGGTGAGCGCGGGGAGGCCGAGCCGGCGGCCGCGGCGGCGGCGGATGTGGCTGCGGGAGAGCGAGGCGGTGGTGTTGGAGTCGACGGAGCCGGAGCTGGAGCTGGTGGACAGCATGATCGAGATGCTGTGCACCAATGGCGTCCGTCGGCTGGAGGACCTGCAGGACCTCCTCGCCTGCTACCTCTCGCTCAACGCCGCCGAGCACCACCGCACCATCGTCGCGCTCTTCCGCCGCGTCGTCCTCGTCTGGATCCACCTCGGCAGCCAGAGGCTTCTTCCCGGCCAGTGATCAAACCAGCTCAGTGAATCCATTGCTCAACTCGATGCATGCATGGTGATCGATCATGGCGTGCTCAATTGATCAATTCTTCATGGTTACTTCCATCCGAGTGATGACTGATCAACTCGTCATCAGTTACTGTTAATTTCTGTTCTTGACTTCTTGTACATTCTTGAGACATGGCGCTTGTGTTAAAAGAGATCGGGTTGCTTGTCAGGTTAAGTAAACTAAACATAGTTTTCTTTTCTCTTTCGTTAACCTGTCTCTGTTACGTTTCTGTACTGTGTTTTTACGGTTGGTGTTTGTGGTTTTGTGAGGTTGTTGGAGAGAATAGAAAGCGGGCGCAGCGCAGGATGTGCGCAACCCACTTTGGCGTCAAAAGCGAGATAGATCTTAGATGCCGCCTTTACAGCTCGATTGGCTGGACAGGAAAGCAATAGGGGGAATTCCTCGCTGTTCGTCTCTCGTCGCCGGTGGAAATTATTTCCACGCGTGTCATTCGGTGTCATTTGGGATTTGGGAATGATAATATCAGAATGGAAGCCTGCGGTTTTTACCTCAGGTATTCTCCCCATTCCAAAATAGATTATTTTTTTTATTTTTGCACAGATCAGGACATAGGCTATGTTGGTGTAGGTGTTAGTTGAAAAAAAAAATCAGGGCATCACCTATCACTCCCATTAAAATTCTAGTTATAGATTGTTCAGAACTAGGGTTGTACTTTTTTCCCTTTGATGAACGAATTATTTTTGGACTTGAAATTTTGGGGTTGTTAGATGCATATTGCATCAATGCTTTGTTTCTTTTTTTTTCCAGAACTTTTTACATAGCCAAAAAAAACCATGATCCATTTATGTGGAAAGTGGAAGTGTACTTGTAGCAGGATATCTCCTTCAAAATGTAGAATCCATTCATGTGGTTTGCACAACAGTAAAGAAATCACATGTAATTTAATTGTCATCACTACAATTAGGAGCCATAGAATTTTGTATAAAATTAGGTAAATTCAGGAAACACAGCAAAATGAGACCAACTACCACTTCCCAAGAAAAAAATGTTGGTCATTGAAAATTCACATTGGGATCTTTGCAGAGTAGAAGATTTACATTCTTATTGTAAATCCACATGCTCCACGCCTCCACCCCCTTTTTCTTAATGGGGAGCTCATATGTTTGGTAATTCATCATGTTGTCTCTAGGTTGTTTTTTTTAAAAAAAATCAATTTTTTTGTTGTTCTTGCAAGGTATTAAGAGGTAGAGATATCTCGCGGTACCAACCAAGTCGAAGATATCTCATAATGTTAATTTTGTAAGCTTTCAAGGGCCGTTAAGAACCTTTGGTCTGATTGGCGCTTGCCAAAATTTGGAAGTGTAGAGTCGCTTCAATCACTTGCTTGGTTTCCTACCAATTAGATCAAAGATCCGAAAGATTTGCATTACTACGAAATAAATTTACCAAATATTGATATAATCCAAATGGATTGCCAAATACCTTTCAAACAAAGAAATAATTAGTAGCGAACCAAACCAGCTCTTTAATTTTACCGATTGTTCCTACACATCAACATCAACATCAAACAATGGTGTAGCCAAGTAAGGCCAAAAGTAAACACCGATTTTCAGAAAAAGTTCTGTTCACCACCCAAGAATACCTCATGCACCTCCTAGGAAAGTTGGAATAGAAGTGAAATGAGCTAAAACCATTTATCTTGGACCTCGGATAGGCTGGCAACCCAAGGATGGCCGAATGGCCACATGTGTCCCCTCTGCCATCGGACTCAGGAGACGGGTGTGCATCTACTAGCAAGTTGTAGGTACACTAGAAGGCTTTGGGTGTCGCTAGCAATCTGGACGGCTTGCGACCTACTAAACCCCAACCACTGGTGACATGCTTCGACAGTTATAGAATGGTGGGAGAACACAGCAAACACAATAGGAGCTCCGAAAAAGGCGATGCACACCCTAACGCTGTTAGTGGCCTGGGAGATATGGAATGAAAGAAACCGCAGAAACTTCCAACACGAAGAGCTTCCGATGGCCAGCTTGCTGACAAAGGTCAAGGAGAAGGCCAAAACTTGGGCCTTGGCGGGCACGAGAAGTCTCCGCGATTGGCTTAATTTTTAGTTATCCCAGACCAAAGGTCCAGTGCATGTACAACTTCTTTCTTTTGTACAATTTACTCCTATATTCAATGAAATTGGCGGCTCGCTGATTCGTTTAAAAAAAACATTTAACTTCATTCTCCATTCTCTGCTAGTACTACTCTTCTACTGGCAGAGCCTCTCTACATTCTGAACACTTTCGTGCCTCCGCTTGCCACTCACCTCTCACAAAAATGTGCCGCTTTCCAAACCGAAGCAGCCAACACATCCACATCAATCCACCCCTCCAGCTTCAATTTAAGAAAGATATAATGCCAATGTTGAACTGCCATTCTCTATTTCTCTCCACACATTATTGATGTATATATGAACCGATTTTCTGACGGAATGATTCATGCAAAATTCCTATTTATAAATGAGCGTTTAGTTGTAGCTTCTTACATATAAACCGTGGCCACCAAAGTGATGTGGTTTTATTGTCTTTGAGAAGGTATACAGGGTACCACAATTTATAATGCAAATTTTTATACTTCTCCCATATACAACTTTGCTATGATTACACAAGAGAAGCGTATGTGCACATATCACTGTATACGCACACCACCAGCGAATGAGGCCCTAAGGACAAAACATATGCTCAAAGATATAAAAACATGCAGTAAATCTCTAACCTCAATTATCCTTGGGCACCAGGTTAAAGGACTTTAACCTTGATGAATAGGGCCATGCACCCATGATACAATTGCCACTCCTTGCTCTAGATCTAGCCCGATTCATCTTCATGATAGTTGGAGCCGCCGATGGCTATAGCCAGGTGTGTCGTTGTCCTTTGTCTTTGGCCTTATGAGCTCGAGGCAGGATGCGCACATCGGCATCAGCTCATGTGCTTATCACCTCCACCAGGACAACCTACTTTCTCTTATAGGTACCAGGTGCAACATTCTCTCACCATGGATCACCTCTTTTTCCCTTAAGCCACCCATATCCTTTTCAAGCCACTATGCCACACTACAAACCACTCACTCCTCCCCCCTCGTCCGCTTGCTTTGTCCTACACGGCAGATCACTGCTGGCGTGGAGCCGTGAGAACTGAGGAGTGTTGTAAGGTCATTCACAGTCCGTAGATGTGGCATTCAGCGCCAGGGTGCCAGTGAGGAGATTCCCCTCCATGCGAGTATAGGTCATGCAATAAGCAAACCCCTCAAACCCCCACGAAGATGCATGAGCCTCGCCAGGGCGTGTTAGGGTGAAGTATGTGACGTGCGGGGCGATGGCTTGAAGCCACGTTGGGGAGGTTGTGCCCTCGCGATGCCCATATCACACCACGGCGTCTCGCTGACCTCTAGTGGCCAGAGAAGAAGCTCCAGATCATTGAGGAAGAGGAAGATGAAAACTCACCTCGCCACTCTAGATCCATACAACCGCCCACGCGCGTCGCCATCAAGGTCATCGCCCCGATATGCCACCTATGTGGGCTCCGAATTGGAGCTTGGTTCACAGCCCCACCGTTGAGCTTGTTCGTCGTCCCGCCGCTTGATCCCACTGCCACCGAGCTCCATCTGCATCGTCGAAGATCAATTCGCCCCCATCGGAGCTCGATCCCGCTGCAGGAGAACCGCCTACCACCGTCAAGCTTGATCCATCATAGGAGCTCGATCCTCGCCACCAAGCTCAGTCACCCACCACATGAGAGAAGAGGCCTCCATTGTAGAGTTAGTGTCTATATAGAAACCTCATCCTATGTGGTGTTTTGGGGGCTTGGGACACATGCAACTTTGAGTATTCCCACTGCTCATGTCCTAATGGTCCGTTTGGTTGGTGCCTGAGCAACTTGCCTGAGAGCTACCTGAGAAATCTATCAATTTAGCCTGACTGCAGCCTGAAACAATGTCTATTTGGTTTGCCCATGTGCCTGAGGTGTACTAATGTGTATTTAAGCTTTCAAAAGTTACGTTGTCAAGTTGTTGATTAAGTACTAACTAACGGGCAAACAATATCCATGGAAATATAGAATTAATTACGCATCTTCGATGCAACCAAAATTTTCTAATATGTATTTGAGCTTTCAACAATTAGCATATTTGTTGATTAAGTACTAATTAATAGACAAACAATAACCATGAAAATATGAAATTAATTATACGCATCTTTGGTCCATCCAAAATCGATTCAAGGCCTAAAGAAACATAAATGCATATGTACATACCTTTGCACACGAGCCGATAATCTCTTTAGCTTTGCTACCGTGCCTGCAGCTCAGGCCACCAAAATCGGTGCCCTGACTTAGGCTAACGAAGCAGTCTAAGAGGGTCAGGTCAGGCATCGGTTAGATTTCTCAGGCCTTCAACCAAACACTACTCAAACCAACAAGTTCAGGTTTGCTATCAGGTCAGGCATAGAAACTGAGGGTTGAAACTAAACAAGCTCTGAATACCCTGATAGAAGGGACATCCCTTCTGAGATTTTCTGAAGAGATAAAGAGCGTGTTAGGGCATGTACTATGGAGACCACTACTATAAGTGGTCTCAAGTCACCGGTGGAAGCGCTCCCGTTCCCCTTCACTGCTGCGCGCTACTCTTCCCTTTCTTCGCCTCTCCCTCCTCTCTGCCCGCTCGAGCTCGCGCCGCCTCCCCTTCTTCAGTCACCATTGTCGACGAGGAGTGGCCCGTCCAGCTCGTGGTGGTGAAGAAATCTCCGGCATCGAATTTCGTACTTCCGTGTGGCAGAGGGCGACGAGATCGGTGACGCTCGAGCTCGAGCTCTCCGGCGCGGATCCGGCATCATGCTCGCTGGATCTGGCGAGCTCAAGCGCCAAAAAGGTCCACAAATCCGGCGTCATGCTCACCGGATCTAGTCGAGCCGTAGCCGTCGGCGGTGTCTTCGCGGAGGTGGCGTCGATATGTTCGGAGCCACTACCGTCGGCACGGATTGAGCTGGCTTCCACTGCCAAGCTCCTCTCCTCCCTCCCTAGCGGTGCGGGCCACGACGAGGCATGGGCCAACTGTGGCGGCGATGACCACCAGCTCGGCAACTCGTCGGTGGCCTCCAATTTCCCCTTTGTTTTCCTCTACAACTTCCTGGAGCACATAAATCGTATTCTTTCTCCTAGAACCATCGTTCAATCACCATTTCCTCTGTAGGCCCCTCTGCCACCCTGCGAGACCACTCCAAACCTCCAGCGTAGCATCCGAACCTATGAACTTGAGACCACTGGTCTGAGGCACCGCGTTGTACATAACCTCAAAGAAACAGCAAGCTAGGGTATCAAGGAAAAAAAAGGTCCGGCAAAAAAAGCTGCATCGTAACACCTACACAAGGCTAGAACAAGTGAAAGTGACTTTTTGATGTGGGACCCTGACGAATCGTGTGTGTGTCCTTTGTTGTTGGTGACAGTGACAGCGTCAAGAAGAGAAAAAGGGCCTCTCATCATTTGCATCATACTGTGTATATGCTGCTTGATATGTTTGATACCGATATATGTTGGACAAGTGCTCCCTCCGTCCAAAAAAAATAAAAAAAGACAAATCATGAGTTTCCGTGCCAACATTTAACTGTCCGTCTTATATGAATTTTTTTTATGATTAGTATTTTTATTGTTGTTAGATGATAAAACATGATTAATACTTTATGCGTGATTTATCTTTTTAATTTTTTTATAATTTTTTCAAATAAGACGGACGGTCAAACGTTGAACACGGAAACCAGGGTTTGTTTTTTTTTGTCAAACGTTGAACACGAAAACCAGGGTTTGTCTTTTTTTTTTGGACGGAGGGAGTACATACCAGTGACGAGCTTTCGTGCGACAAGAAGGGAGTTCTTTCTGCTCCGGTCTTTGTAGGGAGAAAAAGCAGAATAATTTCAAGGAGATATTGTCCCTGTTTGGCTCTTTAATTAGCAGGAATATTGAGCCTATATACAAAGGAAGGAAGTTCGTCGCTTCTCTTATCTTAATAAAGAGTAATCATGACAGTACTATTTGTGCTATAAATTTATCTTTTTTTTTATTTCTCAATGTGTAGATTGAGTTTGAAATTGATTTTTGGTGAAGTGATAGATTTCTACTTTGTTAAAAAAATAGATTTTTTTTCATGACCATTTGTATTGAATTTAAAAGAAAAATGTAGACTAGGAGACATCCGGTCGAGGGATGGTTACACTCCCATGAAATTGGAATTCAATCATGTAAGAGGAAGTTGTTTGGTTGGTGGTAGGAATTAAGCTGATTGGTATTTGAAACCCTACCATAGAAGAACTATACAGTTGTAAGCATCAATTATTTAACGTATTAATCACCCATGAAATTGGAATCCAATCATGTAAAAGGAAGTTTTTTTTTTTAGAAGATGTAAAAGGAAGTTGTTTGGTTGGCTGTAGGAATTAAGCTGATTGGTATTTTAAACCCTACTATAGAAGAACTATACAGTTATAATAAGCATCAATTATTTAGGATCAAACATCTTAATCACCCCTTCTTTGCCTGCTGTAAGACTATTTAAGAGTTCCTTTAGTCCTTGAAGAGATATAACATCTTTCAGCGATAATTTGTAGAGCCATAAAAGTGCTCCTAATTTAAGCTAGGAAGTGATATCGGCTTATAGTGATTGTCCAAAAAGAATATCACGCTTTAAAGGAAGTTTATACCTGAAAACACCAATTATTTTAGGAAGTGTAAGATTCACCCCTTCACGTGTCTTTCTTTTCCCCTAAAAATAGCTTCAAGCCCCTGACTAAGGTCTAATTGCTATCCTAGACCATAAATGCTATCCACACTAGCCATGATCATATGAAGCTGGATTTTAGCCCTATAGCCCAAGCAAAAAACCGCCAAAACGTTGCCTCAGTCAAACTAAGGATCATAATCGTTTAGAGCCCATTTAGATGGGGACATATTCTATACACGCAAGTTTTCGATGTACACTTCGTACGCACTAATTAGCAAATTTCACAAAAAAATTCTAAAAAAAATATACATACACTTACAACAATGTGTAAAGTCACATATTCAAATTTATTATGTTTTAGTAAAAAGAAGATAAAGTACTATTTGTTAGAATTTTGTCTTTTTTTGGTTAGGGCTAAAATATAGTAATATATTTGAAGATGAGACTTAAAACATATATGCAATACCATTGAAAGTACATGCATATTTTTTTAAGAAAAATAATATCATATTTGCTAGTTGGTATGTACGAAGTATGCACATGATTCGTTCCCTATTTGGACATATGTTTCTACAAGATTGAGCAGTTCTCAAAAATCTTGCGAAGTTTATGCTCCAATCAGCCTAGAGTGTAACTCAGACACGGAGAGTAGCACAAAAAGAAAAGTAGAAACATATTTTTTTTACCAGTTTTTATATGAATATACACATTTAGAAGGAATTTGCAAAAGTATATCATTGTCGCGAAATGATGATGCAAATTCACAGCGAGTTTATACGGGAAGTACGCAAACTGGTGACGTGTACGAGATGTCAACGCTGTGTTCGGCATTTGGTGTTGGGAGCTAATCCCTTCTGCACGTAAATCGGAGTGACTCAATAATGCATTATCAATTAAGTATTAGCTATTTTTTTAAAAAAATGGTTTAATATAATTTTTTAAAGAAACTTTCATATAGAAAATGTTTACAATATAACACGTCGTTTAGCAATTTAAAAATCGTGCACGTAAAAAAATAGGAAGGAAAGTGAGTTGGGAAAGTAAGGGGAAGAACACAGCATTAGTAGCGAACGGCGATTGCATCTCCTCCCTTCTCTCTCCTTTGCCTTTTGCATTTTAGGTCCCAGCTCGGGCTTCAACGTCTGCGACGCCATCCCTCTCCCCTTGATATCCCCGAAGAACGTGTGACCAGTTTTTGCTCCGCGTTCTTCACAACACCACACGCAAGGAGGATGTGGCAGCGAATCTTTGACATGGATAGCCCAGGCTGAATGCCAACTGTATGCATTGTGAACGCCCTTATTTGGCCATTCACAACGCGCACACGCTAGGTGTGGTGATGTTGGCCACGTAGACAACTCGCTTACGTGAAGAAGACAGGGGAGTGGTTTCTTCACCGGATCTGCATGACCAAAGTTGGTTACTAGAACCTTGCAGCAGTTTGGTCAGAAAAATGTGCTTATCTGCGCATGGAGAGAGAGAGAGAGATAGAGATGGAAGAACAGTGTCAGACAGAAAAGAAAAGCTCAATTTGAGCCGGAGTAGAGACGCTCGGGGAGGTCGCCGCTGTTGCGTGGGCTCGGGGAAGCCACCGCTGTCGTTGCGTGGACTCGGGGTAGTTGAGGCAGGAGGCTGGAGAGGGAGGGGAGAGGCACTGCTTCCGCCGCCGCCGTGTTTTCTCCTAAACAGCGCCAACGGTGGTGTGTGTGTGTGTGTGTTAGGGGGGGGAGGATGGGGGCACCAAATCTGCATCGCCGGTGGGAGAGGAGAGGGTGGAGGAGTTGGGGAGGTGTGGCAGATTTTGCTCCGAAGGTGCAACATTTTTTGTTTTTGTGCTGGGCTAGCGTGAAAAAAATTGGTGGTGGGCCCCATCTAAAGCTACGCACCCTGGGGAGATGGGAGCCCCATTTGCTTTTTCTATGTGGACGCTTAGGCTGCATGGTGAGACCTAAAACATTTCTACTATCCTTAGGGTGTGTTCGCCGTTGCTCGTTCCCAACCGGGAAGAGTACGCACAGAAAACAGAGCGATCCATTAGCGCGTGATTAATTAAATGTTAGCTTTCTTTTTTCAAAAATAGGTTAATTTGATTTTTTTAAGTAACTTTCGTATATAAACTTTTTTAAAAAGCATACCGTTTAGCAGTTTGAAAAGCGTGCGCGCGAAAAACGAGAGAGAAGAGTTAGGAAGAGGGGCATCCGAACACAGCCTTAATGTACGACTATGTATATTTTTACAAATTCTTTCCAAACATATATATTCCTATAAAACCGATGAAAAGAATATATTTTAAATTTTATTTCAGAGTAGCACGCGGTAAGAACAAGGACAGCCACTACGTTTCACCATCGCTACCAGAATAGACTGGCGAATGGTACAGGCATTGCCTTTCGGCAGCTGCCAATAGGACCAAAGAAGGAAGTCGAAAAGGAAAGGCGCTCCGATGAGCAGAGGATGAACTGCCTTTTGATCAGAAAAGCACAATGTGTCAGTTCTTGTCGGAAGGAGAAATCAGAAAGTGATGTTCTCGGTGTCAGGTGATGTAATGTGAGCAGACTGCTCTGCTGTGTGCAGGTATTTAAGTTCCAGAATTCAGAGCTGAAACAAAGAGGAGCTGATCCAGTGGTAATTTGCACGGCCACACAATCCATTTTGTCATGGTACTGCGGCCATTGTTCCAAATTGGACCGGGGAAGAGAGCAATCTGAATATTCAGGGCACAAGATAATAATGGGAGAAAAAAAAAAGGAAAGCTGGCCTTAGAGAGCACTATTCACACACTTTTGACCTTCGGAATACAGAAATTTCATTCGAGTTAATTCACTTTGCATAGAAATCGACACAAAAAGTTCTAACATCCAAGAGAATGCCAACATAGCACTATTAAAGAAAAAGACGCATTTACCAAACCATACCTTCCTTTGGTAGAGACAAATGGGATTCAAGCATCAAGCAAAGAACATCAAAATAGAGCAACAAGAGAATGCTTAAGATTAAGCTAACATATTCCCCCGATTTTTTCTTCTTTCAAGTTAAACTTAAGGTAAAAGAACTACAATGGTATAATTAGTTGCTACCCATTAGCCTTCTTGGCCTAACTATAGACAATTGAGGAGGACAAGAGATCGACAGAACTTTACATGGACGAATATATATGCTATTAGAATCCTCGCATTTGCGCTCTCCTGAGGTTATGAAAAAAGCTCAACCTGTTAGCTCTTCTCTTTACCTTTTAGTTCTCTAAACCTATGATCAACTGTATCATCTGTGTATGTACCGAAAGTCTCAGCGAGTCCCAGCACGGAGAGGTGGGAAGTGATCTTCATCTCCAACTTTGTAGAATCCTGGTGACCTAACATAGCGAAGATTACATTATGAGAACGCACATTATGAATTGTAGAATAAAAGCACAAAAACTATCTCATGGACTGACTATTACGTTATCAGAATGCATATTATACATAGTAGTAGCATAAAAGCACAAAAACTATCTCATGGACTGAATGAACTGGAGATGCAAATAACAAACTAACTAGAGCTTAAATGATCCTTTACTTTTTCTGAAATGTCTTCGCTGTGTAGTCTTTGATATATTTGCAGGCTGAAGATTTAGTAGATGCTTCATTTGTTTCACATTATAAGATATTTTAGGTTTTGAATAGATTCGTTAATAAGATATTTAGGGTGGTGGGCTGGGAGTACCAAATACCAATTGTTTTGATGTATCAGTTATCAAAGAGAAATGCAAGTAACTTAACACCATATAGTCAATTTAGACGAGGGATGGAGGCGCTAAAATATCTTATAATGTGAGAGCGAGTATAAATATTTTACCTGCTTTGTGTTGGATGGCTTTGCAATGCCAATGCAGCAGCATCGGCACATGTCTTACTGGTTGAGTGTGTGTTGGGATTCTTATTCGATTTTGGTGACACAAGTGTCAATGAAAAAGACCCCAAAGTTCCAAACTCAATATTTTCTAGTGAAGGCATCTCCAAGTCGTTGAATTGAGTAGATCCTTTTGTCACAGGGAATGAGGACTGACAAGTAGATGCTGTAAGGCTTCTGTCGTTATGAAGAGAGAGCTGTACCCGTGGCAATAATTGGCTGGATTTGCCAACAGTCTCAAACTCTTTGTTTGAGTTAACCTGATTATATGGCATCTGTTCTGGATCCCTTACAAAAGATAGATGTTCTTTGTGATTATTGTTAATTTGTTTTGCAGCTAATTTCTTGTTTGAGCAAGCCCTGCCACGTAGACTGTTTTGGAGCTTCAACAGCTCGGATGGCATTTGTTTTCTGGGCCAGTTAATTTCATGCTCTTTTTGGACATTTAAGCTTGACATATCCTGATTCTTCAGTGATTGATATTTTGGCATTTGATTCCGTGAACTACCAGATCGGGCAAACCCCATGTCAATATCATAAATCCGATGCTCAAATGAGTTCTTGCTTGAGCGGGCATGCTTGTAATGCCTTGGTATCATTGCTTCACTTTCAGGTTTGACACATTCTAAGCAAGTGTCACAATTATAGCTCGAAATCTTCTTAGCAGTGCTTATATATTCATGCTCACTGTCCTTGACTCTCAAATGCCGGCTTAACTTTATGTCCTTGGTTGCAGTGTCTTGTGTTATTTGCTCCTTACAAATGGAAAATTTTCCTTTTGGAACTGATGCTTGATTGCTTTTAACTCTCACTTGTCGATTGATTAGTGTCTTGTTCTGTCCTAAAGATACCATGTGCTGTAACACAAATAAGGTAACTGATTAGCAGAACAACTAAAGGTTTAAGTGAAGCTGTCAGTGTCAGACATCCAAGGGACAAGATGTATAGCATATATAATGAAGATATAAAATAGTCAAGTATTCATATCGGATCTAGATTTTCTTGGCCCTAAGAGGACAATGAAAATGTATGCCAAAAAAAAGTAAGAGATATAAACTCATGACAACTGAGAACAGAGAGCTCCTACCTTTTGGAGAATATGTTGATCTGTTTCATGCATATTGGAGATATCATCTGAGCTATCATACAATTGAACAGAATTATCTGAATTAGCATAAGAAGAACATGGTGACAGTCCATTGGTTGGAGCAATTGTTTGAGAGGGTATTAATAAAAAGTTCTGCTGACAAGACGCACCCCAGTTGCTCTCATCATGTGACTGCTGTGAAGAATCTTCGGTGCTATGAGAAGAGGAAACTGGAGATAATCTCCTCTCATCAGTTTCAGTAGATGAAGGTGATAACAGACCTGGCAGCACCACATCAGAATTCGATGTGATGTTAACAGCTGGAATTTCAAACGAGTCCCTTGCAACCTTACAGTCAGAAGATGCTTCTTGAACAGACTGCAAAAAACCATCAAACATGTATTCTAGGTGATACTGAACTTGGCGGAGGCATCTCAATTGCAAATCTAGATCACCTGATAGATCCACCAAGCTCAATGGGGAGGGAGAAAATTTTTGTTTTTCCTCATGGGCAACATTTATACTCGAATTTGTCATGTCTGACTGACCAGATTTGGAATATTCCAAATTATTGGCCAAACTTGAGTAAAATGTATGTAACGTATTGTTTGGATAAACTTGTGGATGCATTGATGGTTCTTCATTCGCATGGCAGGTTTCAGCTGTACAACAAGATGCCTGTTCCACCATTTCATGGTCCAAGTACTGTTCGCTGCTACCATTGCCATCTTCTAGGTAAAACAAAGGATACTGATTTGGTGTCTCTTGGATGAAACAGGACGATTTTAGACTCAAATCAGTACTTGATGCTACCATGTGATCTCCATGAAAATGTGTAGGCACATTCAAGGTGGCATATGAGTCATTGTTAACTAAGCACTTTGAAAGATGGTGAGGACCTCTGTTCTCATCTTGATTATTGCAGGAAATTTTCATGCTCGACATCTCATCCCACAATGCCTTGCCAGGACCAAGGAAGGACTCACAACGAAATGCATCATTATAGCTTTCATCTCCAATGTCTGGCCTTACTCCACTTCCAATCCTATTCAATGTATTCTTGAAAAATCCATAAATTTCATCAGGAATAAGTTCTGGTTGTAACAAGAGAACTTGACCAAGCTTCTGAGCACCATACGAAAAAGCAGTCCGAATACGATTAAAGCTGGCTGCACAAAAGTAAAATGTCTACATAAACTTAGTAGAAGTGAAATAATGTACAGAAAACCCCTACTATGTGCAAGTTCAACCGCATGCTGATTATGGTTTATATGCACATAGGAAGCATCTCAGCACATGCTATGATATGCATGCCCATACATCTTTGTAGAAATTCTTTTGAAATATAATTTAGAGGAAGAAAACAGACAGGTGCCTTTAGTTTCAGACCTTTGTTCACACTTCTGCCAAGATTGTTGTGTTCCTTTAGTGGATCAATTATGTTCAGATATTTTGAACGGAACTCAGTATTGCATGCATTAGAATCTGTTTTTTGCACCGAGTTATTGAGGAACTCTTTGTCAAACAGCAAATCACTGCCAGGTGTATTTGTTGCTTCGACTGCAAGACATACAAAGTTTTAGGGTAAAAACAGAATATATGTATTAGTTGGTTACAGTCAAGGATAAGATTACAGTGTAGCGCACCAATTTGATTTGGCAAAGACGATAATGCAACAGGGCCATTTAAACTTATGCAATAGTTGTCCCAGTCAAACTTGCTGAAATACTCCAGAAACCTATATAAAACCTATTAACAAGACAAACATGAAGTAAAAAGGTCAAGAGTTATAATCCGTATTATTGGTTAAAGATGTTTTTACATGACTGAAGAAGCCAGTTCCTTCCTATTTGTACTTACCTCCAGAGGGCCATGGAGAGATTTGTGGAATAGATTGAATATGTAAAGAATAAGAGTTTCCAGTGCGTAAGTTGATATCAGTCCATGATGAGCTCCTAGTAGACGACTTTCATAATAACACCATGCCTTGATTAATATAATGCTATTCTTGACTAGATGATTTTTTCCAACTTTACGGTCAACCTGAAGAATGAACAACTATTTACTTTTCCAAGGTTTGGCATAGTAACAAAATAAAAGCAGACCTAGACAAGCACACGAAACCAATATCGAGTGCTATACACATTCAATAACTGTTTGTTTAATTAACCAGAAGGACATTAAAGTGGAATAGAAGTACATAAAATTTTCGAAAAGAAAAGTATTATTATACCAGCTCAAGGAAGCAAAGTGCGCAGATTCCACCAGTTTGGTTGAATGAGATGTCAACGACAATATTTTCAATAGTGCATTTAATAAGTCTGACCTGAATGTATAAACATTTGCAGAAATTAAGAGGTGGTTTATGTGTGAGAAATATAACATATAGGGATAACAAGAGGCACATAGTTTATAAGCTTAACTTATAATTTATTTCAATCAATTATTAAAAGAAGTGAAATGATTACACATGTTACCAGCAGAAACAAAAGGATTTTCCCAAACTACAGTTCACATGAATGGCTAGGAATGTGTAGCAATTAGCAAGCATAAACATGCCAACAAGAAATTGCACCTCAGCATTGATCAGTTGCAAGTCCTTTACTTCAAATTCAGCATCACAATTCTGCTCTTCTGACTGAAGGATGTGGTAGATATCATCAATTAAAGTACTACCATAAGATGTATTGCCGAGTACAGTCAGATCAACGTCCCCATCAGGAAGGTAAGTCTTCAATGGAACTGATCCATATGCAAAGACCTACATATCGAATAAAGAAGAAACATTTTAGAACTAGGAAATAATAAAGAAATATTTTTGCACAAAAAGTTGGCACGTCAAAAGGTCCAACAGATATTGCTAGATAGAATAAGAAGTCATTGCAACAATCATATACAGGTAGTAATATGATAGAGAACCACAACCAAGATATATCACATATCCACGAAGATTCCTGGTATGTGAGTGTGTTACCATTGGTTTTTCCAAGAGAACAATTAAAAGATGAACTTTTTGTTGGGTCACCATCATGTTATTCCACTAAGAAACATATATACTTAGTCATGTCAGTTTTGCATGCGCCAAAACAACTAAATACATCCATGGAAACAAATCATAATATAACTGTCTTAAGTATGAATGATGAAATGACTAGAAAATAGCGACCAATATGCCACCAAGTGAGCTGCTATCATGAATCACAAAATCATATTTTTCAAGCAGGTAAGCAACCAATCAGCAAATACGACATTTTTTTAAAAAAAAAAAAACAAGAACTAGAAACAACATATAAGGCGGAGAAAAGTCAAAGTCAATTGGCATCTTGCAGGGATTCTGTGTTGCGCACTATTGGCACACATACACACATGTGACAATAATTAAGCGAAAACATTACTGCGAAAACATTACTGCTTTGATGCCCAATGAATATCATTTGCTAGGTGACACCACAACATGACTCCTACTGCAAAACTAATGCCTATCAACTATAGCCTGCCACACGTTTCCAAGCAATTCCAGCTATACAAAGACTGTATAGACATCTCGTAGTACGCATTAAAAGTGTTCAGCAGAATAGCAACAGATAAGGACCACTTTTCCAGATCTACCATCTGTGGGTACGGAGCGAAGAGATTACACATAAGTAAAGGAGCGCACGGACAAAGTTCAAGTACGACTAAAAACAGTGGACCGATGAATTCCGATCAGTAAACAACTGTGAATTTGTGAGCTCGTAATAATTCAAAGTACGCAGTAGAACTGAATGCAGGATGTTGGCAGGCAGCTGTCCGTGTACATGGGCTAAATGTCACCCCCTGCTCTGTCGAAACACTCAATTCAGACATAACATGCCCAGATGCTATGTCAAAATACTCAATTCAGACACAACATGCCCAGAAGATTCAGCTACAGCATTGATCAGTTGCCACACTATTGGATAAATCCACGTGGATGCATGAGTCACCATGGACAGAGTGAACCGTGAAGGGTACTGCTTCTCCTGGCAGGCAGTCAAGATCATCACGAGCAGAAACAGAACCAAAACAAGAAAAAGGAGTTTTTTTTTCTTTTTCTTTTTGTCTCTCTTCTGGACCAGCAGAAGAAAGTTGTTTCCGCCTGAAAGGAACTTTTAGGATGTAGAAAGTTGGATTTTATAAAGCAATTCGTGCCTTTTCGTTGGAACTGGAAGTGATGCTTGCAAGCGAACATAAAACATTATTGTGCCAACAGAAAATAAATACTTGAACGCGTCAAGAAACGTTCCATCAGAAAAAGAAAACCCTTTATTAAACCAAAAAGCGAAAAGGCCATAGATCCGAGCGCACGGTGGCCTCAGCTAAAGTTCGGAATTCAGCAGTTTGGATTCACGAGGGCTAGTTAATAGTAGTTTATTATTAGTAATTAAAAAATGTGAAATAAAAAAATGATCCCGATTTTGTTCCCCCGTGAAGGTCAGCGAAAATAAAACAAGGCAGAATTGCAACGACGCGCCGCGAGCAAATAGTTTAGGAATCAGTCTTGATCCGTACGAACCTAAGCCGATTAATTAAAAAGGATAATCCTCCCGTGGAGAGAATTCCCGTCAAATCCCACAGACAGCGACGGAAGCAGAGTAAACACTAAACAAAAAAAAATGAAGAATAAAACGCCCCAATCAAACGAGGATGAGAATCCCGAGAAACCTCAAAAACCCGAAATTGGAGTGGAAACGGGGGCAGAAGGGCGCGCCCCGCCGCGAACCGCCCGGGCACTCACCTCGCAGCCGAGCGCGGTGCCGACGAGCCTCCGCGCGTACCCGACGACCGCCGCGCGGCGCCGCTCGGATGCCTCCGTGGGCCGCACCCGCCGCACCACCTCGCCCGCCGCCTCCTCCGCGCGCGCCACCGCCCCCGCCGGGATCGCCGCCGCCCCCGGCGCCGCCCTCGCCATCGCCGCCGCCAGCGTCCCTCCCCCTCCCCCACCCCCACCGCCCGCCATCATCCTCCTCCTCCTAGACCCCGCCGCCGGTGGCCATGCGGGATCCGGGCACAGCAAATGGAAAGAGAGAGAGAGAGAGAGAGAGAGAGAGAGAGAGGGGGGGGGGTTTGGGGGAAAACCCAAATTCCCCGTGGTGGGGGTGGGGGGTTTACGAGGTCACGGGACGAGGGGTATAGGTAGGTAGGTAGGCCGCGCCGCGCGGCGAGAGCCCGACGAGACGGAGGCGGAGGAGGGATGGAGAAACCTGCGTGCGGGTGTGAACAAAACCCACGAGGAGGGGAGAGGAGGCAGAGGCGGAGGCAGCCGTCCCTATCCGGGGTTGGGTCCGCGGGATTTATACCGGCGCGGCGCTGCGCTGCGGTTGTGTGTGTGTGCTGTGTGTGTGTGTGCCGCGCCGTGCGCGTGATGCGGTGGCGATGAATTGGACGGGATGGATGGATGGGGGCCAGGTGGTGATGCCCGTCGCCGTGGCAGCTGACCAGGGCACGCATCGCATTCGCACCGCCTTTGGCTTGCCTCTCTTTGCCCTCGTGGGTGGGGAAAGCGTGGGGGCCAACAAACTGCGGGTGGGGCTGGGGGGGTGGTCAGCCTCGTCCTGCCTTGGTTTTAACCGCCAACTGCTCTCTCCTCTGGCTCTCTTACACTTGCACAGATGACAGATCTGGTGGTTCAATGTTGGCATTTGGTGTCCGAGTTTCAACGGCAACGCCGGCGAGCGGCGAGCCGTCCCTCCTTCACCGCCACCTAACTTTTCAATGTTCGTGTTATCTGGGCTGCTCGGCTGCTTGGAACGAATAGCGCCACAAACACAACGCAGCAGTGTAGCCGTAACCTTCGTCTCTCGAACGACCCATCTTCTGTGATACTGTTGATGTTTAAGTTTGGATTTGTAATGATGTCTGTTGGTACAAGGATTGTACTCATCCGTCTCAAGCTAATACCATTTGATGTGTTGCCTGAGGAGTGTGGATTTTTGTACGAAGCCTTTTTGTTTTCCTGTGATAGATCTCTGTTAGACACTACATTTTCATGGATCGTCTTTGATAATATTGTTCGCAATATGTGTCAAAATCGATAAGATTCGTCAGTTAATTGCTTTTCGTTCTAAAATTAGATGTGTAAGAAAATATCTTTATGCTGAAAAAAAAAAGTATACCTTTTACTACCATCAATATGAATACAGTATAATTTTACAAACCTAATTGTTCTTTAAACCTTAGATACACAGAGCCCAACATAGAGTAACCCTATATAGATAACAACATGCACCTAAATGAATTGTATCTCAAGGTGGTTTCAACCAATATAAATTTTCTATTAAAAAATCTCTTTAAAAAAACAACTTTGTATTAGACAAGCTTCACTAGCATTGATTTTACTTAAATAGATATATGTCCGCGCAGGTATCATCTACCAATAAATAAATCTCCAGATCTTTCATCCCTTATCTCCAAAACGATGCAACTAGGGGTCGAACTTTCGAGCCCTAGAAAAATATTGAGCAGTGTTCCTTTACTTACTCAAAAATGTTTCATTGCACGGTATGAAGTATGCCCACTAGTTGCATTTTTTTTAAAAAAAAGATACTAATTACAACGCCAAGAATATAATATTACGCACTATTTCAAATGAAACCGACTACAACGAAAAAAAACGTTTCCTGCATATTGTAAAAAAAAATGTGTGCAATTCTACTTCCCTGAGAGTTGACCATTCATCGTAGAACTATATTTTGTCATCACTCGCCACAATTGTGGAAAACCATGCTGCATATATATCACCCTTTCCAAAAAGAATTAAATATATTTTTGAGGCTAAGTGTGCTGCTTGAGTAAAATTTCTGCCGGATACGCCAGTTTTAGGGCCCCTTTGAATCGTAGGATTGAAAAAACGGAGGAATAGAAAAAATATAGGATTCTAGCAGAAATGTAAGTATAAAACAGAGGATTGTAAAATATAGGAAAACACATGAATAATCGTTTGATTGGAACATAGGAAAAACACAGGAATCGGATGAGAGAGATAAACTCAAAGGATTTTTACCAAGAGGTTGGACCTCTTGCTAAGTTTCCTCCAAAACCTATATGCAACAAGTCATTCCATAGGAATTTTGTAAGATTTGGAAAACTTCAATCCTTTAAATCAAAGGGCTACATAGGAAAAATTTTTATAAGATTTCAATCCTATGAAATTACTTCATAATTCTTTTGATTCAAATGGGCCTTGTCCTCTCTTTTTTCTCTCCGTATCTTCGTCGCAGGGTCGCGCGCGCACAAACTGTTAGCTACATCCCAAGAGCTAATTTTGACCGACTGGGTGGTCGGTGCTCCAGCACCGCGCTGCAATCTCGCGCGCCACTCGACGGGAGGAGCCAGCGGCGACACGGCCGCACGGGCCCAGGACGGGTCGTTCTCCTACATTGTGGAAGAGCGATGAGCGATCCCAGTGCGAGCCCCACTGAAACGATCGAACTTGCACAGCTTTTTTATTCTCCTTGGACAGCAGGACGGGCGTGGACCCTGCCGTGTGCCGAGAGTCCGTCGTCCGAGAAGTTTAGGCGGTAATTACTCCTGTTGCTACTTGTAGTAGTAGTACTGTAGTAGGCATCGGAGCAACTAGTCCAGTACTGCTCCTGTACACCTGTACAGTAGTACGTACACTGCAGTCCAATCCATCCACATGCTCGATTCGATTTGCCGCAGCCATAGCTGAAGCCACGAAGCCGTGCACAGCGGTACTGTACACAGTGGTATCACTAGGGGTGAAAATGATCGGAAACGGTATCATATCTTCGGAAACGATGCTCGATTGGTCGGTAATTGACTATATTTAGGCTCCCTTTGAATCAAAGGAAAAACCATAGGAATTCTAGAGTATTTTATCCTATGGGAAATAATCTTATAGAGTCCTTTGAAACAAAGGATTGTTTCCTATCAATTACTTTGAAATTCCTATGGAATGAATCTTACTAGAGCAATTTTGGAGGAAAATAAGCATGAGGTCTCACCTCATGTTTTCCTCTTCATGTGTCTAAGATTCCTGCGTTTTTCCTGTGTGCTAATCAAACGACAGTTTGAAGACTTTCCTGTGCTTCAAAATCCCATAGGAATCCAATAAGTATGGCATTCAATTCCTACATTTTTCCTATTCCTATGTTTTTTCAATCCTGCGATTCAAAGGGTCCCTTATCATTTAGGGCCCCTTTGATTTGGAGAAAAAACATAGGAATTTTAGAGGATTTCAATTCTATAGGAAAATTTCCTATGAAGCCCTTTGAAACAAAGGATTGAATCCTATCTAATCCTTTGAAATTCCTATGGAATGGACAATCATATAGAGATTTTGGAGGAAATTTAACAAGAGCTTCAACCTCTTGCTAACTTTCCTTTGAGTCTATATCTCTCATCCAATTCCTGTGTTTTTCCTGTGGTTCAATCAAACGGCATTTCTGTGTTTTTCCTACGTTTTGCAACCTCTGTTTTACACTTACATTCCTATCAAAATCCTACGTTTTTCCTATTCCTATGTTTTCCCAATTCCGCGATTCAAAGGGACCCTTAAACTACTCAGTATCGACATTAATACGATGCGGAAAGAAATTAGAAAAAACAAAATTTAAAAATAGCCAAAAACGGTACGGTCAGAAACGGTACCCCTTAAACGGAAACGGCGCCTGGTTGATCGGGAATTTCTGTGACCGTTTTCACCCCTAGGTATAACCGTATGTATATGTCACATGTCAACGCAACCAGATGTATTGTGGCAGACGCAGGGGCGGATCTAGGATCCGGCCAGCACAGGCAGCCGCTCGTGTTCCTCAGCCTGAAGCAGTGGAATGCTTGCTCTGCTATGCTGGCGAAGTCGGCATTTTTTTTGGGTAACAAGGAGCATTAGCAAGCGCAGCAATTTACTGATCAACAGAAGCATAGGAAGTGTTAATGAGAATTTCTTTTTGATAAGTGATTAGTTTATTGTGATCTATTTGACTTTATTAATAGGATTTGCATTGGATTAGGTGCTTATCTATAGCTAGCTCTTTGCTCAAATTTCAGAACAACACAATAGTTGATACGGAGTACTTTGATAGAAGGAACCATGATGGAACTGTTAGGGGGTGAAGCTTGCACGTGTTAACGGTTTTTATGTATTACTCCCTCCATTTCAAAATGTTTGACGCCGTTAATATTTTTAAAAATGTTTGACCGTTCATCTTATTTAAAAAAATTTAAGTAACTATTAATTCTTTTCCTATTATTCGATTTATTGTTAAATGTACTTTTATGTATACATATAGTTTTACACATTTCATAAAAGTTTTTGAATAAAACGAATGGTTAAACATGTTTAAAAAAGTCAACGGCGTTAAACATTTAGGGAAAGAGGGAGGGAGTATTAGCCATTAGGTTTGTCCAGCCGTCCAGGCTTAGAAAAATTTTCGGCTCCGTCACTGAGGGATGAGAATTCCTGTGGCGTACTACGCGCGTTAAGTTTTTCTTTGGTACGAACGCACAGGCAGGCACAGCCGCCAGCTCGCGGCTCGCACACGGCACACGGCGGCGGCGCGGCGGCTGGCTAGCTAGACGAGTCCCGCACGGCAGGCAGGCCGGGAGGAAAACCTTTGCTAACTCCAGTAGTTCGGTGCTCTTGTCGCGGGAGGAAAACGCCCGAACGAACGAACAGTACTACGACAGTACGACGTGTCGATCGACGTTCCGGGGCCATTAAGCAACCGGGGGGGCCGGCCGCGCGGCCGAAGAAGAAAGCGAGGCAGCACGCGCAGCGCGCCGCGCGCAGCACGAGCGCGTCAGCGTCAGGCGGGGTCGGGGTCGTCATCCTATATCCGCTACGTCACGCCAACCCCCTGCGGATGCGGGCGCGCGCCCTCGGCGCCGCGCCGCGCCGTGCGGGAGGTTCACGCGATCGACGACGCGACGAACGCGAACGCGAGCGGGCGGATGCGCGGTTTTGATATACCTTTTCTTTTTCTCGCGCGATCGATATAACAACCGTCCTAGTACGTGCGTGCGTGCGTGCGTGCACCTGGGCTTTGGCACGTATCGGGAACGAAACACCGCGTGACGCTGCTACGTACCCCCGCCGGCCGCGAGAGAGGAAAGGCGGTTGGCCGGTGGTGGCGGAGCGAGCTGATGGGAGCGGATATGGGCATATTGGCCGGGCGGTGCCGGCGTGGGACGCGTCGGTTGCAGACTTGCAGGGGTTACATTGCCTACATGCTCGGCTCTGCTCCCGCATCAGCAAATTATGCTGTCTGTATGGCTTGTTTGGCGTGGAGATATTTTTTATCCTATCAAAATTTTGGTTGTGTAAAAATCTTGGTAAGTTTTGATACTAATAAATTGATATTAGTATGGAATTTAGAGCGAAACTCTTAATGGGCGATCTGGTCTCCCCCTCTCCTCCACCTGGTTTTCTTTTTTTTTTGGCACCGCATTACTTTCCTATTTTAGTAAATTTATGCACCTAAAGTTTGTACACCTCAAGTTTACACATCTAAAGTTTACATACCCAAAATTTATAAATCAAAAGTTTATATATCCGATTCAAATTTGAATTTGAATTCAAATATTTTTTATATATAGTATTTCTATACATCTAAAGTTTATAGACCCAAAGTTTATAAGTCAAAAGTTTACATACCCGATTCAAATTTAAATTTGAATTATATCCGATTCGATTTTGAATTTGAATTCAAATATTTTTATATATAGTATTTCTATACATCTAAAGTTTATAGACATAAAGTTTATAAGTCAAAAGTTTACATATCCGATTCAAATTTAAATTTGAATTTAAATATTTTTTTTATATATAGTATTCCTATACATCTAAAGTTTATAGACCCAGAATTTATAAGTCAAAAGTTTACCCGATTTAAATTTGAATTTGAATTCAAATATTAGTTTATAGACCCAAAGTTTATAAGTCAAAAGTTTACATATCCGTTTTAAATTTGAATTTGAATTTAAATATTTTTTATATATAGTATTTCTTTACATAATTTTTTTCAACTTTATTTTTTTTATTTTTTTAAAAATTTATAGTGTAGTAGGAAGAGAAGAAGGGGAGGAGGAAGGGAGGAGAGGAGTGTATTAGCCACACCCAATTTAGAGCCGTGTTGACAAAATTATCCCCAACCCAAACAATATCTCGTAGATTAATTCTTTCGTGAAAGAAAATCTAGAACCTTTAAATACGATCGCAGCCGTTATTCAGAAGTACTGCTCCCTTAGGCCAATGCCTAGGTGAAGTTGTTCTCATGGGAATCATTTTCTATACCTACGGAAATCAAACTGATTATGTATAAATTCCCTCTCAAATGAACCATTAGCTATCATGGCCTCGTCTGCATATGTCCTTATCCTCCTTGGAATTCTTAATGAATCCATCATGCCGATATATCCAAGCAATAAAAACGACAAGATATGTCACGATAGTACTCAGTACTAGACGACCGTATACCCTGTATTGTCAACAAACATACGGACTGCTCCTTCCAAATTCCAATCAACAAAAGGAGGTCGTTGGCCTGCATGCCCGAGTACAGCGAAGAGTGGGCGTTTATTTTGTCCATGGCAATTTGGTCACTGGCTTCTATCCCTATGGCCTTGTTGACCACATTAGCATGCTGTTAATTAATGACAGTTAATGATAGCATTTTGGTATGAGATTATACGGAATGCCTGAAGTTAATTCAAAGATTATACGGTACCAGCGCGTGAATTAAATAGAGAAAATCCTTACATAAAGTTACAAATAGTATTTCTTATTTAACATTTAATATAGGTAATATCGATTAATCCCTTATATGCCACCGGATGAAATTTTTCCGCCCATGCAAGTAGTGTATTGCCGTCCACAAATGCCACAATTGTAAACATGTTCCTACAGGGTACTAAATACTCCTTTCATCTGAAAATATAAGACACAGTAACTTTTTTCTTCATGACTTATATTTACGTACATGCATGCATACATTAACTCGCATCTCTTCTGCATCATCTACTATTAAACCCCAATTATATTACTTGCATACATCGAGGTGATCTAACTGAGAAGGTGATTATTTTTTTTTCTTTATTTTTATGTTAGTAGTGGTTGTACCTAAGAGTAAGTTTAATAATATAGCCAACTACCAGCAAAAAAAAATTGAAACATCATATATAGCCAATCTAATAGCCAACTCATATAATAGTTAGTTTTTTTTGCGGGGCATATAATAGTTAGTTGTAGATATATATTGCATCATTAATATTTAATCCATCCATCTCTCTCACATAATAACAATTTATTGGAGTCTGTGTTGCAGTTGCTATAAATCTATAGCTCGGTTTTCTTCTCTCCTCTTCTCTATATAAGTACAAATGTAATGTAACAATTTGTATAACCCTTTATATCATTGTATATATTGTACTCGTTCTAGTGGAAGGGGTACATCATGCAGAGTGGTAAACGATTCTTCTTCTTCCTTCAGTAATTACGTGTCCTCCAGCGATTTATAAGTAACAGTTATATCACGCTAGACACAAATCTCGATTATATATGTACCGGTGTAGTAGTTTCTTATGCTACAGCAACAATGTTACAAAATTCAAGCTCCGCCGATTTGATAGTAGATTTTATCCGGTACGTAGGAGTTACAGTGATCATTTACACAAGCTAGGACATGGCTAAATCAGGATCAGTTCCTGCCACGATAATTAAGAACATTTTTTAATGCCCTTTCTTTAAATGATCAGTTCCTGTCACGAGAAATGAACAATTGGACCTGTAATTTTTTTTTCTCAAGAACCTCTCCACAGACTTCGCTTCGTATGCGATTTACGTGATCTAAATTTTAAACAATAATAGCTAGTTGATACCTCGTGCTTTGCTGTGGTAAATGTGAATAAATGCATGTTATACATTATATAAATGATATATGTATATATTTAAATAATGTGAAAATAATGTAACGATAATGATTCAACATTACTTACATATTGTTACATATTGAGTTCTAAAATATGTTATATTTTTATGATAATTAAAATACTCTAGATAATAATTGTCAGTGAGTGAGAATGTGATACACTTGCACGGGATTTAAATACTCTAAATAAAATTGCTAGTGGGTGATGATGGGATAGATTTGCACGTTAAGTTTTAGAAATTATTAGACATCAATATTACACTAAGATAGGATAACAGCGGAAAGATGGTTTATGTTCGCGGAGAGCCAACAAAGCTTTGGATTAGGCATTAATGCCAAACATTTTTACCACCGCCGAGTCGCCTACTCACACACTAGACTTTGCTCGCTAATTTTTTTCCTATCGTCCTGGTAATCAAACAACCTATCTGGCAGCAAACCGCATTATGTGTTAAACCACACTGAAGTAGTTTTCCGGTTTACAGATCGGTTTTCCTCGTCGAAACGGGGAACAAAGAAAAACTGAAATGGGCCACCAAATCCAGCCACCACATGTGAGCCATGTCTCCTAAGGCCCACGAAAGCCTCTCTAAGTTTCACATTCCCGTCCCTGATCCCGTGGTGTGTTTGGTTGCACGCGTACTTCTAGCATGAGTTGATGAGATTTCGTTTAGTTGCATGAGAGGTGTGGTTTGGAAAAGATGGTCAGTTTCATGGGATTGAGTGTAGTTATCTCTTTATTTAGTTGGATAAGATTACTTCTATAATATATCTACTACTATAGAAATTAAAAATATTTCCGTTAAAATTTTGATATGTCATCCTTATCTGAGTATACACCCCCTTACGGCCTAACCCTCCTTCTTATAGCCCAAACCAACCAGCCCACACTATCTGCCACCTTGTCCCGCGCGTCTTCACTTGGCGCCACGCGCTCCCCTTTTCTAATTGACATTTTTTTCCTTTTTCTTCTTTCCTTTTCTCCCAACCATCTTGATCATCTCCCGCTCCTTCCGATCACCTCTCTTTTCTCCTCATTTTCTCTTCCAAATTTCTTTCCTAGTAAATATTTTAATTTTGAAATTATCATTGTTTTAAGGTGTTTATATGATAAATTTGTTACTTTGCAAATACTTTCTATTTACAGTAAAAAAAACTTTCACTAACCGAATAATCAAAATTTCAAAATACGTATGCATTAACTTATAACGTAATCACCCGACTGATTTATAAGGGTATGAAATGGTATATAGAAGGGATTCTTCATGTGATGATGTATGAAGCAAGCGTAATCGGGTTTTATGCTATATGTGATTTTTTTACTCTTTTTTGTCTTATTGTTTTGTTTATTTTATTTCAGTTTATTGTTTAAATTGTCAGAGTTTTAATCAATTGTGAAAATTATCTTCACACGTTGTTATGCATAGGTATTTTTGCTAGTCAAGTTTTATTATTTTACTTGACAATAGTTGTAAACAATTCATCATATACAATGAATAATATTGGTGTTCAAATCCACTTAGCATTCTTTATATAAAACACCCAGAGCTTATTCAGATTGTAGCTAAAATAAACCTTACAAAGTTTTGGCAATGTCAAAATTTTGGCAAGATGATAATATTGCCAAAATTTTTGACATGATTTTGGAGTTGTGTGTAGCCGCCACAGTAGTCTTTTGTCTCTTCTTTATTTTAGTTTTTTTTTCTCCCCTTTCTTGGCATAAGTTGGTCTGACTGATTGCGTCGTGTAACAAACATTATATTCTTCTAATATATTGACGTGCAATCCTTCTGCGCGTTCGAGAAAAAAAAATATTTGACATGATTTCTTATGTATTAACCAAATTTAGCAACAAACTAAACGTAGATATTTTTTAACAACTTTAGAAAAATTAATAGTATAGTTGAAAATGGCATCAAGGGAACAAGCCCCAAATTTCCGGGGTTCACGCCCATTTGCCACAAAGACATGTGTTTCTGCGAAATTTGCTCCAATTAAAAAGTCGAAAAATGGGCAGCGCCCCTGTGCTGACCTTTCCCAAGTCCTCCTGCCGCCGCAGCGCCGCGGAGGAAGAAAGTAGAAACTGCTTCCCCCTCCTCTTCCCCTCTTCTCGCGGGAATCTCCCCGTCTCCGCCGCGAAACCATGGAAGCTGCCGCCGGCGCCGGCGCCGGATTGGCGGAGGCAGCGAACGGCGGGATCGAGAGCTCGGCCGCCGACCCCTCCACCTCCGGCACCGCCTCGCGGCTCTCCGTCCACCGGATCGCCGGCGGCGGGAAAGGTATACTCGTCCAACCCCCCCGAACTTCCTCCTCTCGTGCTAGAATTCGGTAGCCTGTTGCTTGAGCCGTGTGGTTGGATGCACGAATCGGATTTTAGCCTTGGTGGGGGAATGGGATACGTCAGGTCGTTCAGCTCCCTTACGAAGTCTAGACCATTTCTGTGTTTTTCAGTACTAGCAGCTGGATTGATCAGGGTGGTTCTTTAGTTTCTGGGTCTCTTATGATGTTAGAAACTGGAAGAAGCCTGTTCAGGCTAGAGGTGCTTGCGGCTGCGGGGTTCGATTGTGCGTTATGATATCGGAGCCTAAATTTCATCTTTAGATGGGAATGCTGAAGGGCCTGCTGTTTCGGACAATTGGGTTGGAAATTTAGTTTACTTTGAGTAACTCAATTAGGCTTAAAACTGGGAATTTCTGTGATGCTACCCAATCGGACTAAAAATATGGGCCAAAACTAATACTCTAAAGTAATGATTACACATTTTGATACTTCGTTGCTCCAATGTGTTAGTTTTATAGATAGCTGGTTGGGCCAAAACTAATACTCTAAAGTAATGATTACACATTTTGATACTTCGTTGCTCCAATGTGTTAGTTTTATAGATAGCTGGTTGAAGAGCTTGGGTTTGCATCCGATGGACGGGACTGCAAATTCAGTTACTCTGATACTTCATTGATGATAGCCAAATTAAGTTCCTATGATACTTATTGATGATAACCAGTTAACTATGCCTCTTGTATATCTTCTGCGTGTAATTAATGCTTAACTTGAAGGGAATTATGCACAATGTAATATGATTCTATGGTTTCGCTACCTTTTATATCTTTTAGATGAAATATCATTTGCATGCTCCAGCTTTACAAGAAAGCTCGCGAAGGGATACCTTTTATATCTTGCTGGCCATCAACTTGCCTTATTCACGCTTCATGATGTAATTCCTATCTTACAGCTGCTGATATCATCTTATGGAAGCGTGGACGTGTTACAATTGGTGTTATATTTGGCGCTACAATGGCATGGTGGCTGTTTGAGAAATCTGGACTGTCCTTCTTGACAGTTTGCTCTGATGTACTGCTCATTTTGATTGTTGTGCAGTTCATACGGATTAAAGTAGCTGGATTGCTAAATAAGTAAGCCATCTACATCCGACCTTTGATGGATCCTTCCTTTCATGTTATTTAAAAATTGGATCGGGGGTGTGTATCAGTGTTTTTATCTCCTGTTAATTATTTGTAGGCAACCTAGGCCACTACCTGAGTTAGTTTTATCAGAGGAAATGGTTAGCAATGCTGCAGCTTCATTCCGTGTTAAAGTCAACAACATGCTGATGATCGCACATGACATTACTCTTGGCAAGGACTTTCGACTCTTTTTCCAGGTTAGCTAATTCATTTGCAGTATTTCTCTCTGTTGATTATATGAAATTCATGTGGATTTTGAGAAGGAAAATTCTTGACAGGTTGTGTTGCTCCTATGGCTGTTATCTGTTATTGGAAATTTCTGCTCGTCTATTACTCTTGCTTACTTTGGTATGTTCTGTATGCATAATGTATTTTGAACTCACTTTACAAGCATACAGCATCAGCTGCTCACATATCTATCTGAAGTTCATGCTAATTTTGCAATGTATCGTGTCAGGAACCATTGCTTTGGTCACAATACCTGCATTATACAGTAAGAACCAGGAGCAAGTTGATAGGTATGCTGGGATGGTCCACAGGAACATATCAAGGCATTACAAGATTGTCGACGAAAATGTGATGAGCAGGCTACCAAGAAGCTTTATCAGAGATAAAGAGGATTGATTTGTTTAGAAGCTGTGATAGTAGTCATGCCACTATATCCACACCCAAGTGTGTGTGTTTTCTACACTTGTATTTTTATGCCGTAGATTGTGCAAATTAGGAATTTAGGGCAAAAGCTGGAGTATGCTGTAGATGCCACTGCAATGTGCTACTATTCTAACTCTTGAGCAATAAGGTTCGAAACAAAAAAAAAATATTTTGCTTGTCCTAGTGCTTTTTGTCCATTTCTTCAACAAACTGGATACAAAATTGTCCAAAGGTACCCAGTGTTCGTCATGAAATGAAATGAAAAGTTTGATGTCAATTGCCATACGCTGGTAACTTGTTCATACTTCGGTACTTACTTCCTATATATTCCACTGGTATGACATAGTAACATATGAGCTTGTACAGCGATGTGAATATTGAATTTGGATATACATGGCTTGTTTGGATTGCTGCCATTTTGAGCCTTAACAAGGAAAAGAAATGGCAAGTCAAAATTTTGGCATTGCCCAAAATTCGGCAAAAAGTGTAGTGTTTGGGTTGTGGCCAAAATTATGATAATGTTACTTGTGATGTATTGTTTGCCCTTTCCAAAATATTAGCAACACTAATTTTTGGCAACAAACCAAATGCATGCCCATTCCGTTGCCCTTGCTTTTGTGTGTGTGTGTGTGTTGGGGGGGGGGGGGGGGGTTCTTTGGGCTGTAAACCAAGCAGACCCACAGTAACGTAATACCAGCTTATATCATGTCATCAAGTCTGAATTGACACAATGAATGAGAATGAACATTCTATGGCCGTGACTACTCAGGCACCTTGATTGAATCATTTAGCTCGTGCACATGAACGAGATGTTGGAATGTCTTCGACAGTTAACAGTTCAAAACGCCCCAGGTTAGATGTAACATTCTAAGTCTAACGATAAGACATGGTTATTGGTTTTCGAGTACAAGTATGTTAATTAGCATAATTCAGAGATGAAACCTTTATTTTGATAAATATGCCATTCAGGGCATATCCATTCACCACTAAGCAACTCATACTGTCATACAGATACAGGTTTTATCATGGCCAACCGGCTCTAGTGCTCATATTAACGACGGCAACTACGGCACGGTCGGCACCAGACTTACACCAGGAAGTAAGCCTCATCACAGTTCACAATTCATTTCTCAAATTGTGACAGAAATTCCTTGGCAGTCTCACGCCAGATATCATAGAGCTCATCAGAAAACAGAACAAAGTGTACCTGCAGGAAAAATTCATACCAACAGTGATTCAAATGTTTAATTGAGGTAATAACGACTAATAGAGGTAATAACAACTACGGTGAAAAAACTATGAAGATGATCAAAACACCTTTAATATTGGACTTGATTACAAATTCAAAACCACAACAACTTCATACTGAAAAGTGAAAAGTGATAACTTAGAAAACAGGACCACTGCTAACCTCTTTAATATCATTAGAAAATCGTTGTGCAGTAGAAACAGCAATCTTCGATGCTTCCTTTGGAGGATAACTGCATTGAGTTAAGTCATGAAGATATTGACAAATCAAATGACGCATAGGACTTACACAATGACTAGGTAAGTCAAAGGAAAATGCCAATAGCACATACCGATAAACACCACAAGAAATTGCAGGTAATGCAATGTATTGAATACCATTCTGTTTAGCGAGCTTCAAGCTATTTCTGCAGTTAGCACATCAATCGGAACAGTTATTTCACTGATTTTGCAGGCAACCACAAATTTTCTTGTAATACTATACAATTTAGAAAGGACGACTAACGTGTAGGCATTATTTAAGGAGACCTCAGGTTGCTTGTCCATATCATATATGGGCCCAACAGTGTGTATCACGCGGGAAACAGGAAGCTTGAATGCTCTGTTCACATTCAACATACAGGTAATGATATAGAGATATGTGGTGTTCAGAAGATGGCATTCTGATGCCATCAGTCAGATTGATTAAGGGAAAGGCACTAACGGAGTAATCCTAGCTTCTCCAGTGGGGCAGCGAACTCCAGATTTGACCTCTGGAACTTTACGGCATGCCTCTACGAGTTCAGGTCCAGCAGTTCGATGTATAGCTACAATGAGAATTTTAAGTTTGTATGAGATAGTCAATCGGTGATGAGATAAATGATAGCTCACTAGTAGCTGCATTCAATCACCTCCATCTACACCTCCACCTCCTAGCATTCGCTCATTAGCAGCATTAACCTGAGAAATATGAATAACTGTCATCTTCTTCATCGTCATACTCAGATAGTCAGAGTTAGAGATTATTGCTTTAACAATTTTGCAAATATTTTCTAGAAAAAATGAAGATTAGAGAAAGTCAAACACAAAACAGCATCCTGCATATTGTCGCACTGTAGCACAAATGACACACCATGGATCCAAGAAACAGAATAACCAGAGAGTGATGCAAATTCATGCGGATATAACACTAGAATTGTGTCTGACAACTAACAACCCATTACTCGCGACCCAGAATTCGTTTCTTGAATTGTCACACTGACTTCCTAGATAAAACGGCAAAAGCACACAACCCTGAGTGGTCGTGATTCTCGTAAAACACGCGCGGATTTGATATCCCGGGCGAGTTTCAGCTCACCAGAACAGTCTCCTAGCATGGCTCGAACCTAGACACGAATGTGTGGCCATGCGCACTAATCCCACCAAATTCACACGAGCAGCATCAGATTCGAACCACTCCTTCGCCGGGAACACAAGCATCGGCAAGGATCGAGGGAGGGAACGAATTAACAAGGAAGGAAGGAAGGAGGGACGTACGATGGCGTCGGTGGCGCCGTCGACGGACCAGAGGGTGATGTCGCCCTTCTGCAGCTTGAGCGCGCCCGCGCCCGCATCCGCCGACAGACGGAACGCCTCGCCGCCGCCTCGCCCCGGCGCGGCCGCCATGGCGAACGATGCCCTCGTCGCGCCGCTGCTCGGTGGCGGCCGCCGCCGCCGCCGCTTGGGGAGGAGTGGGAGAGGGAGTGGGAGTGGGAGCCGCGACGGCGTGAGGAAAATTCTAGCGGCCGCACGCGACATTTCGTCGGGTCGTGGCGTCTCCGTTGTCTGTCTCCTCAACTAGCCGAGGCCCACAAGTGGGCTGGGCTGGGTTGGGCCTTTCGTTAGGCCCACATAGAAATTGTTCTTCCTCGTAGTTTTTCTTTTTTTTGAAATATAAGTCCACTTATCATCGAGTTTAATCGGCATCCCTAAACTGCAGTGCCAGGAATCTTGAACCCTCCAACTTGTAAAACCGGGTTAAATTTGATCCTCCAATAGTATAGATGGTTGGTTTCGCTGACTAGGCGTTTACGTGGCAAAAACAAAAATGGACCCTTCATGTCATCCTCATTCTCCTCCCTCCTATCTCTCCCTCCCCCCTCCCCCTCTCTATCTCTCCCCCTTGTTCCTGGAGCTCGATGCATCGAGCGCACCGGTAGGTGAGGGTTGGCCAGGAGCGGTGACGAGGAAGCAGCTAAGGGCAAGGAGGTCCGGTGGCATGGTGGGCCTACCATGCCGCCAGCTGAAGCCGAACAATAAAAAGAACGGGCAATGGCCATATTGGACCGGCGGCGGCCAAAATGAAGTTGGGGCTGCTGAATCGGAGGAGGAGTCGTGACCGTCATCTAGGCTGGACCCTCCTCTCTCACCTTTTCCAGCAAACAAAGTGAGCGTCTTAGCGGAAGGCAGTGGACCTCACTGACGCCGCCTTCTCCTTCGACCTCATTAGCTTGTCGTCTCTACCGAGCTGCCAAGGAGCGACAAAGAGGTGCTAGGCCAGGTCGTTACCACTGATGCGACGCGGAGCATGCCCCGCTGGTGGAGGCATAGCAAGAGTCGATGGGCGAGCCGGGTAGCATGAGCTCATTGGGACAAGAAGTAGGACACGGGGACAACACCACCGCTCAATCTCGTGTTCCACTGCCACCGCTGCGGCGCCTCCTCCCATTCCTCGCGGCTCCTCCCTACTCTTGGGTGGTGGCAGTGAACCCACCCCTAACAATGGAGAGGAGCCTACCCTAGCGTCGCAAGACCGCAGGAGCACTCGAGGCAGAGTTGCTGGGCCGTCGAGTTCTCTCCTCCTCCATCACCATAGACAACAGCGACCCCATCCTCTCCAGCTGCCCTCCCGTGGACGGCTGGTGAGCTCGAGCTTGCCGTCTCCCTCGTCTCCCTTCTTTTCTCCTCCTCCGCCACGGACTTCCTGAGCCCCCTCATCGCCGACCTCCCACTGTCGCTGACATCTCCACTGTCACTGTCGCCTCCCACAAATGGCTCACAGGCCACCACCTCTCTCCCCGCTTGCAAGCTCTTGAGGAAGAAGGGTAGAGGTGGAGAGATGGGGAAGAGAGAGGAGATGTGGGTAGATGCGGAAGTCCACTTACATGTGGGCCTTGTATGCTTTTTTAATTTTCTTTTTTCTGTCTAGGGTGCCATGTTAGCCAAAACAACCATTCATACTATCATGGGATTTGATTTGAATGATTTTGTCAAGATGGGAGGTGAAGATTTCTAGTATTACGATTTAGATATTACAATTAAACTCGACGAAGAGATAAGGAATAGCAACTAGACTTATTCCAAGATTTTTCGGCCGAATGTTCTCCCTCATAGTTCATTCCTTCATTCCCTTATTCTTGAAGAAAAACTAAAATATTTATGTAATAAAAACCTCACAAGGTTTATGTTGGAATTTTTTAATAAAAAAAGTTTGTTTATGGATTTAACAAAATTCCCAAAACAAATGCATAAGTTAATATGACAGTCAACAAAATCTCAGGAGGTTGGAAATTGAGGGAGAAGGCATTAAGAGCATGGATGCAATAACTCCTCCCTCTATTTTAAAATATAATCATTTACAGGGCATTTTACGGGGATTAAGTTGAAGGTGAAAATTAAATAGGCGATGGTTGTGATCAGTTGAGATAAGCAAGGGCTTGTTTGGATTAGAGCTAACTTCTATCATACCAAAATTTTGGCAACTCTAATAGTATAGTATGGATGTTTGGTATGATGTCAAATTTTGTCACAGAAGAAGTTATACTTAAAAGTTTAGTAGTGCTAAATTCATGTTAAAAAGCTTTTTTTCGATTAGCGACATATTTCTGATCGCGCTGAATTCATATTAAAAGCTCATTTACGTTTACGTAATAATCGTAGGCATCAGGATTTGAACCTTGATAGGTGCAGTTATATATCCACGACTTCACACCACACCATGACACCATCCGTGCTTCCAATATTTTGAATGGATAAAAATTGATTTCAAACCAAACTAAGGTCAATCCCAGCAAAATTTTGGCAGAACCACTCCAAGCAAAAGAGCAGTTAGCAGAATTTTGGAGCAGAATTTGGGGGCAGAAACACGGGCCGTTAGCAGATTGCCCCCTTTTGTCTTAGGTTACAAACAAAAACATCCCAGTTGTAGCATAGACAGTTCCGGTTTGGCTTTCTCTCAAACAAATAAATTGGGTTTGGCGACCAAAGGAGAACTACTCCTGCCATGGCTGCCGCCGCATGCACTTGCCACGGGCGTCGGCCGTCGCATGTCGCCACCGTGAAAGTGATCATTTTCTTTCATTTTCCTGGGCTTAGTTTGGGTTAAAAAAAGGGTCAACCAACGTGGTAGCCGAGCGTACGGCGCGCGACACTATACGTGAAAGCAACCGGGCGAGCGGCGGGGTGTCGACCGTGCCCCTCGCCGTACGTACCATCAGAATCCGAGACGATCAACACCATTATTCAGGTTGCATATTAACGTGTAAGTGTGTAACTAGTCTAGCGAAAGAAGACGCGCGTGGGCATATCATAGCACGCGGCTGCAGCCACCCCCCACCCGCCCTGTCATTGGATTTGGATCCTTCTCTCTGCGTCATTTTTCCTTGTGGAGTATCAAAAAAATGCTGCAGGTTTTTTAAGTCAAAAACTCTTAAGATGTAACTATAATATACACATAAACTTGTAAAGTAATTACATTGTAACTATATTATAATTGCATCGTAACTATATTATACCAACGATATAACATATATTAAACTTGCATTCAAATATATATGGTTTGGTAATTAGTTAGCACTAGGATCTTACACGTAACATATGTAAAAAAAAATTTATCTAGTAATTTTTTCCCTTCATGCACAAATCTCAAGGTGATCCAAAGATCGCAAATCTAAAAGTATTGGAGGCAAAATAAACTTGCGAAAATTTTCTAGCAAATCCATTTCTTTGTTACAGATGACCATATCAATACTTAGCCAAAGCAAAAAATTAAATTTTGAAACCTAATTATAACGTTGATTTTGGATTTTTTTTTCCATAAACAAATACAGATATAAAAGTTTTACCTATAAATTATAAACTCTGAAACCTGCTCAACCTATTAGTGCCGCCAGGTATTTTCTCTTATCGTGAAAAGAATATTTCAGAGTTGTAATAGGTTTTAAAGTTGTAGTTGTTGTACTAAAAAGGAATAGATAAGATTGTTGCAAACTTGCAATCATGCATCAAACATGACAATTGGCAATGCCATCCTCAGGCCGTGTTTAGTTCTAAAATAATTCTTCAGAAGAGCAGTCATATTTTCGAAGTAATAATTGTTCTTATCCCTGCCCTATGCATGTAGATATCTCAATTTTCTGGCTCATGTTGCATGGCTAGCTAGCTCCCCAATCATCGATCAGACTGAAAACGAGCAGTGACTGGCGGCTACTTGTCAGTTGTCACCCATGTGCACCGAACATGCATGGTTCAACACTGCCACTGCAATTTACTCCTACATCTACATTGAGGGGGCAAAAAAATTGACAATTGTAACTAGGTATTGTTCTCTTGTGATCATTGATCAAAATTCATTGAACCGGATGGCAATCGTTACTGGCCATTGTTCTCCTGTCGTCAGAATTCAATGAACCGGATGATCTAGATCTGCTATATATATATTGATATTACCTGTGCTGTGTAGGAAAGAAGAGAAAAACTACGGTGCATTCTCTTCTGGAATTGTTGGGTGCGAAGGTCCCCCGTTCAAATGCATCTAAATTACTACACGAAGTCGGTAAATATGAAGATAGCAAGCATGCAAGCGCCACGGTTAGGTCTGGAACCCGGCCTTTTGCAAACAGGGTTTTCCACACCTTTTTCATCCCTGTTTCTGATGAAAAGAAAACGAAAGCCATCTTCCCTCGCAAAGGTTGTCGTCTAGCCATCTAGTCCTAGCTAGCAGCACACATTTTAATTACTGTCGGTGAGAATAATTAAGCAGCACCATTGTCCTCTGCATAAACTTCACACGGTACAAAACTCTCGAGTTTTCACAGGTTGAGTTCGGTAAAGCAAATAGCTGCGATAATTTTCTCGTTCTTCTAAATTGGTAAACGATGTGTTTCATGTAAAAAATATTATAAAGTTTCTTAACAAATCAAATAAATCTATTATTCAAGTTTAAATATATGTAATTAATACTCAATTAGTTATATGTTAATAGATTGTCTCGTTTTACGTACCATCGAAAAACCTCAGTCCAACCACTGCATCAAAACCCAATTGCTAGGAACTATATGTTTACCAAATTTGAGAACAAACACGTCCTCCACCAAAGCTAGACTGTGTGGTGGCCTGATGTGAAATATATATTTGCATGAACAACTTACCCATAACTAATGAATGAAGGTGGGTCACTCCGCTCCATGTGTTATCTATTCTTCCACACTTAGGACTATGTGGTGGCCTAGTGTGGGAGCTATAAAGCTACACGAACAACTTAACAATAACCAATGGATGGACACGGGTCGATCATTCTGTTCCGTGTGATGTTTCATACATGTTTAGGTTTAAAAGTTGGGTCTGGTGTGAAATTGTGGAATTACTTAAAACACAGCTCTACCTCTCTATTTATTTTGTGATATCACTTCAACCTGCTTTTTTAATTAGGTAGAAGTAAAATTGTTTGGTTGAACTTCTCAGTTTAAAAGAGATGGAGTTTTTTCTTTTTTTTGGGGGTAAAAGAGATGGAGTTGAAGCTAGAGGTTAAAGCAAACATGACCTTAACTCACCCGCGTACAGTTTCTTTGAATTGACCAAGCACGATTCCGCGAGACACATCATGTTCCGTCATTAACCAACTCCCCTGGTGGTCACACTCATCAAGCACACGCACGTACGCATGCATATGAACGGATTCACGCGCACACCAGTTGCACGGCGCGTCCAATCCCCATCTCCTAGCCATCAATTTTGGAAGACACTATAGGCACCGGCACGGATGGTGAGTTGTCAAAACTATGGCGGAAATTCCCCCACCGATCATGCCTTATGTAAAAGTGAGTATTGTTTTTGACCGTTAATTTCTGGTTCTAACCATATACAAAATAATTGTTTCTTTTGGTTACACAACAGATTTATAGCACACATCACTACACACGTAACACCATACTTACACCCCATGAATACGTCTCACAATATATACTCTGAAAGACGGAAATCAGCGGTACATCTATGATAATATTTGTGGACGACGAGATTTTAACCTTGGTGGTAAAATCATATATACCAAACTTCTTAACTTCATCACCACAACATTGCTTTCTAATCTCTTTTATCATCATATTACAGTCGTCGCTAAATAGCTAAACTGATAGATTAAACATGATTACTTCTCGACTGGCCGAGAATCATTTCTGTAGATATGTCACCATTTTCGATCGTTTGAAGAAGGGAAGAAGAAGAAGCAGCAGCAGCAGCAGCAGCAGCAGCAGGAGACAAACGGAAACGGATCCAAGCCATGGCTGTAGCTGTAGGCCTGTACTGCCCTGCCCTGCATGTGGGCGCGGCGGTCTGGCCCTCGATTTTGCCTTGGGCCGCCGAGAGCAGCCGCATGTGCCGACGACTCCCTGATCGGCGGCAGCCTTCCCTTTCGCCGGGCCCACACGCAGAGGAACAACGAGGAGTACTATTTAGAAGAGGAAAGAGAAAAAAAAAAGATAGCAGGGGTCCTGGTCGTTGTATTCTTCTTGCGTGTCATCGAATTTGCACGTAGACAAACAAAATTGGGGTTTGCGTGTGAGCTCGGAGTAGTTTGTTTGGATGTTAGTCGAAAAAAGGAAGCGAGTTGATCGAGTATCACGAAGAAATTGCTCCCCAACAGTGCCGAAAAAGTGTCTCTAATCTGTGATGGAAAAGGCCCGTCTTCGTAGATCACTCGATCACCCTCTGTTTGCAGGGTTGGGCTTGGGCGGTCCTGCGGACAAATAATGCAATGTGGATTCTTCTGGTTCATTCATGGAAAAGCATTAGATTTAGCTTTGATCTAATTAGAAAAGGAAAATACGAGGAAGCACCGACGGTACAGTGGTATAGTCGTGGACTGGGATTTAAATCATGATAAGTACAAATATTATACACAGATTGTTTTAATACAAATTTAGTGGTCCAATGATTTGTTATTGGTCTCTGTGTTCGAACATGTTTTAAGGGTGCATTCACCGAACATATCTTCCATGTAATTGAGTAAAAACACGATACTCTCAGTACAAGCATGTTGTATCTTACGGATCATGGGTGTCGTTGAGCATTGCGCTTTCCAAAATGTAAAAAAGTAAGAATAAAACTTTCATTCATCATCATCTCTACTATTATAAAAATTAAAGATATTTTTACCGGTATTTTGGTACGTCATCTTGAATCGCTTTTAAGTTCGTTCGCTTTTGGAAATACAGATCCATGTTTGAGTCGGATTTTAAATTTATTTGCTTTTGGAAATATAAAAGGAGTCGTATAAGAAGCCTCTTTAAAAAAAACTCGCATGCTAACTTGAGATAAAAGTCGGACTCCTAATTGCAGTTCGTGATTTTCTAGAAAAAATATCAAGCGAATTCCCAAAGTGAATTTCATCCTAGCTAAACCGTATAACAATAATAAAATTAAAATAGAATTCACCCATTGCAATGCACGGACATTTTTTTCTAATATCTTAAAAAGATTAAAAAAAACACTTTTCAAACTTTTTAATGTTTTGTGAGCTATCTACTCCTGATAATTTATGCAATTACGTAAATATTAGGGAATGACTTAATATCAAATAATTAGAATATGTAAGACTTCAAACTTAGATCGTCTAACTCACCACCTTATTAAGCTAGCCAGAATAACTCTGGACATTTCTCATAATTTTTGTATTTACTGCCTCCTTTATAAAGGCTATGTTTAGATCCAAAGTTTGTATCCAAACTTCAGTCATTTTCTATCACATCAACCTATCATACACACATAACTTTTTAGTCACATCATCTCTAATTTCAACCAAAATCTAAACTTTGGATGCAGCCAAAAACACACTTAAAGGTCACACTCAACGAAGAAGGATCCAAATCCCTACGCAGTGCCAGCGAAGCACACTACAAATAGCCAACAGAGACCCGCAGATAACGCACCAAACTACCCCAATGGCGCCACCCCTGCTCCTCCTCCTCGCTTCTCTCCTCCTCGTCGCAGCGCGGCGAGCCCTCGGCCTCGGCCTCGGCCAGTGGCAGCCCGGCCACGCCACGTTCTACGGCGGCGGCGACGCCTCCGGCACGATGGGTACGCACTGGCGCACACTGACACTGACAGTCTGACACAGATGGCGGCTTAGCTTACCTATGATGTCGCCGCTCATGGCGCCGCCGCCGCGCGCGGCCGGTCTTGTCGGTGCAGGTGGCGCGTGCGGGTACGGGAACCTGTACAGCCAGGGGTACGGCACGAGCACGGCGGCGCTGAGCACGGCGCTGTTCAACAGGGGCCTGAGCTGCGGCTCCTGCTACGAGCTCCGGTGCGCGGGCGACCACCGCCGGTCGTGCCTCCCCGGCGGCGCCACCGTGACGGTGACGGCGACCAACTTCTGCCCCCCGAACTACGCGCTCCCGAGCGACGGCGGCGGCTGGTGCAACCCACCGCGGCGGCACTTCGACCTCGCCGAGCCGGCGTTCCTCCGCATCGCGCGGCACGCCGCCGGGATCGTCCCGGTCTCCTTCCGCCGCGTGGCGTGCGCCAGGAAGGGCGGCGTCAGGTTCACCGTCAACGGCCACGCCTACTTCAACCTGGTGCTCGTCACCAACGTCGGCGGCGCCGGCGACGTGCGCTCCCTCGCCGTGAAGGGGTCGGGGTCCGGGTCGCGCGTGGGGGGGCGGTGGCAGCCGATGTCGCGCAACTGGGGGCAGAACTGGCAGAGCAACGCGTACCTCGACGGCAAGGCGCTCTCCTTCCGCGTCACCGCCGGCGACGGCCGCTCCCTCACCTGCGCCGACGTGGCGCCCGCCGGCTGGCAGTTCGGCCAGACCTTCGAGGGCAGGCAGTTCTAGATTAGTTTAGCCAAGAGGATTATTATCTCTTAATTCTTACTAGTATCTTTTGAGTTTAATTGCACACCCAATCGGTGTTTAGTGAGGTCTAGTCGTCTAGTAGATGCTGAGGTTGCTGTGGCTCCTGCAAGAGAAGGCAAGGCATTTCGCGCCCGCGTGTCAGAGGCCGGATGGTTTGCAGTTTGCTGCTCTGCTCTTAGTTCAGATTTGTACAGGGCATGTGGCATGAGTAAATGAGTTGATTAGTTAGGTCCAGAGAGTGGCTGGCTATAGTGCGAGCGGTGATCGGTGAGCCAGCCTCTCTGAAAAAGAGTGAGCTGTCTGTACAAATGCAGTTGCTTGTTTGCTACTCACTCCATTTAAAATATAGCAATTTATATTATTTCTAAAATATAGTAAATTATCAATCATAATCATCTCTAATTTATTTATTTTCTCTATATACTTAAATTTCGGCCATGAGTTACTGTAAAATTCTGGGCACGACCAAAATTTGGCTCGCCAACCCTGAAGGCTACCTTGTACTGTACTTAGAGAACAGCTGAACTCATGGAGTCGTGGTTACCTTTAGCACCACGTCCCTTGTTTATAACCTACTCGTCCTTGGATGTGAACAAGGTAATCTCACAAAATAGCTGAATGTAAGCCTGGAGGTCACTGAAATTCGAATGGATGATTCTAAAATATGATATCATTGTATTCCAAAATTGAAATCCAGCAACAATTTGTATACATAAAAAATGAAATAACAATCGATAATATGAGATCCATCGTATAGCACCTACCAAAACACTATAGGCACCTTACTGGCAAAGAAAAGGTTCTCTTTATCAACAGCACAAAACACTATTAGTACACCTTACCAGCAAAAAAAATTCTCTCTTTATCAACAGCTTTGAATGGAAGCTCGTCAATTTACAAGCTGCATGAAACTGTGCTGATCGCTGGATCTTCGGCAGAGGCGAAGACGCCTTTCAAGGATTGGACGTCATCAACTACACTCTGTGACTGCTGCAGCTTGGCTGCCTCAGAAATTCCGGTCACCAAACCGATGGGTTTGCTAGCCATCAGAGCCTTGGAGATGATGTTTCTTTCTTGTAAGATTATACCAAATCAATAATTTCCTCCCTCAGCAGAGGCTCGAATAAAATTGAGATGATTTTTTCAAGGATTTGACATCATCAATTGTAATCCATGACTGCTCTTTTAGCTTGGCAGCCTCAGCAATGTCTGAGTTGCAGCCATACACATGGATTGCTAATCGTCTGCGCTTGGGAGATGATGGTTTAATGTAAGTATTGTACCAACTGATTACATCCTCCTTCCGAACTGTCCTTAGCTCTTCAGCTTCCAGTTTTGACATATCAAACATATACCTACATTTAGATTTACACACAACGTGAGATAGCATATATTGGGTAAATAAAGAAAAGATGAAACATTAGCGAATCCCATCACATTCAAAGAGGACATTTCTACTGTGTTTGTTCCAATTTTCAAAGAAGAAACACATTTTACAAGTATTAAGTTAAAATGTTGTCCAAGTTTTATGCGTGACTATCATAAAAGAAGCCAGCTCCGAACAGAGGTATAAAACCAGCAATGCTATCTGGAAACTCTGAAAATGAATGTTTCAAACAAGTTCCTGACCAAGTCTATTGACTGAGCTACGGCAATTTGTTATCAGCAATAATCTGGTTTTACAAAATATATGGCTCAGAGAATCTGGTTTTGGCATTTTGACTGGTGGCAAGACACATATGCTGGACTAGATAAAGCAACAGTATGCCCACAAGCAATAATCAGTTAGACAGCAAGTTTATCAGCTTCCAAGCTTGATCCTAGCTTTCATGTTGTCAAACATTATTACGCAGAATATGTACTTTGACAAATTAACAATAAATGCCATTCAAAAGTACTATCCAAATGCCCCGCAAAAAAAAAAAGTACTATCCAAATGAAAAATGATCACTAGCTGCAGTTTGGAATAAAATAATACCTTTTGTCAACAATCTGCGACCAATAATCTCCAGTTTGATAACTAAGAGAAGGATCCTTCTCCAGCTTATCGGCTATTAACCCACTCCTGTGATGCTCAAAAGTCTCTTCATCAAGCCCATCCTGCAAGCACACAGATTAATGGATAATTGGACACAACAAAGGATATTGAAATTTCAAAGCCACCTTAAAGATTTATTTTTTTTTGGAACGGGAGGATTTTGATCCAAATCCTCAGGATCCTATTATAAATTTGAAATCCAAATAACACTGAGAATAATCCCTTCAACCACACACCCCCTTTATTGTCTTCGAATCCAGATATGAAGAGATAAGGGTGAACTTTGATTTAATACAATTTCATAAGGTTCAGAATTAAGGCAATCTTTTGTGCTATGATCACATCAACAGTAGTAATACGAAGGTTAAAAGATACCACAGAATAGTAATATGACAGTAGTAATTAAGAACTGAAACATACATGTGCATGTTAAAATAGGATAGACGCATACCAGCAAAGCAGATACACCATCAATGAAGCTATCAATCCGACTTTGTAGGTAAACAGGGCTATACTTGGAGGACATGACTCGAAAACAATATGCGAGCACACGGTAAGTCATCCGCGGACTAGAGTCCACAGTATAGCCAAGCTGCTCCTTTGTCCTATTATTGGAACACCAAGAGAAGCAATTAGCAAGGCATCTTATAAAAATATAATTAACACTGACTAAATTGTAAACCACTCTGGTCAAAAGGATCCTAGAAATTTGTTTAGTTAAATTTATTTTAACTTGACCAATAACTTTGCAAATATTTAGACTACACACAATAAAAAAGAGTAAATCTGTCCCCAAAAAATTGCATTCAAAATATTTGTGTGGAGTAAGATGACATTTATCTACATACTTGTCGAGGCAACAAGCAAGCACAATATTTATACCTGAGCTGATCAAAGCAAGGTTCTTCAATAATGTTGCTAAAAAGATCTGTAATAGCTCTGAGTTTTGTTGCATCCTTCCCAATGTCTTGTTCAACTGGAAAATAAACCTGACAAGCAATTGTATATCAGAAAGTAGTGTAATTATGTCAAATCAAATTATCAAAGGAAACATAAAAGGCGGCCCATGAGGCCCTTGTTCACAGGCAAACCGAGGCTCCAAACCATAATGCTGGCATGCAATAATTGAAGAATTCAAATGCATCTATGGAAGATAATGTTTATGATGCTTTAGTAGACAGTCATCAATAGAGTGCCAGAATATATAACCCCACCTCAACCACAGAATTCTCTTCAAGTTCATTCTTCACACGGACACTTCTAACAAAATTTGTATCATCAGGAATGCAAAGAACTCTTTCTTCATGCCTTGCCTCATCAGGCAGTGTCTGAGCTGACAATGTGTTTTGGAATATTTTTGATATATTCATTGCTTCATCTTCTGATAGGTTACCATGACAGAGGCCCTCGATGTGCAACTGCATGTGTGCAAACAGATAATCATATGAAGTATATAGAAAATCATGTGGTACGTTGAACATCCATTTTTTTGTTCCTCAGAAACATTAAACATTTCCATATTTGAAAATCATTTGCTATTATGTAGGAAAAGGTGGTTAAGTGGAGAAAAAAATCGCATAAAAGATCATCATGGTAATGGATACCTGCGAAAGAAGCTTTGGCACATATGCCACCAGATCAGAAAAGGTTAACTTCATAAGAACTTCCAACTTTTCATCGACATCCCAGAATATTTCACGTAGGACTTGTAACCTCAGGTAGGTTGAATGGCTCATAGGCTTCATATTCGTGTTTTTGTAAGCTCTTTCCAAATCCTCCTTGATGACCTGGGTTAGGAGATATAAAGGAGATAAACAAACCACAACAGCTTGCTAAAATGTCCCTCTCTCTCATACTGGTCATGGAGGTCAGACAGTGTGCTTCTACAGCTAAGTACTAACCCATGGAAACTAGCGAGTCCTACAACTTTGGTTGACAGGACGTGGAAGAGTAAATAACATACTCCCTCCATCTACTTTTGATAGTTATATTTCATCTTGGCACACAAACTAAAGATAAGTGATTCTAGTTATCATCCATTTAAACATGCTACTAGTTATTTCTCGTAAACAAGTGATTCATTAATATTTACATTTCTCGATGCCCATATAGCCAATCTTGTGTGGAAGAATGGAGAGTCACGCATTAAATCCGAGAAAGTCATTAAGAGTAGGTTGTTGGATTGAAATATGCCTATCAAAAATAAATTTTTCAGATTTGAAAATATGACTACCAAAAGTAGATGGAGGGAGTACTATAGAAGGGGAGGAGTCAATTGTATAGGTTTATTTCTGCCAATGTATGATAGCAGGTACAAGTGTCCAAGATTAAGATACTTTTAATTGTGGCAAAGTGAAATACATGAATCAACAGGGCTTAGGGACAAAAACATGCCTGAACTCAGCTTGTTTTCAGCCATCATAATCATTTTTGGGTGATATACTTGTCAAAAAGAGCAATTTCTGATTAACATGAATATCAAAACCTGCTATGCCCATCTAAATCCCAATGCCTAGGCTACATTCATTCAATGTGCTCATCCTCCCAGAAATCAAAGTAACGTGTTTTATATTTCAGAAAAATTGTAAGATGGACAGAAATACATGATATGTGATTCTCTCTAATCTTTGTATGTCAATAGTCAACAACTTCAATATCTTCATGTTAATTCCTCCACTTTTATTTTGAAAAATCAAGAAAACAGATACAGAAAAACAAGACTTCCAAAGAAATAATCCAAACTTTTTCTCTACATCAGATCAGTCATCTTTCAAAATAATAAATCATGAATTGCATAAAACAAGTCATATTTCAGTTATATTTCAAAACAATGTTACCTCAAACCTATCTGACTTTGGAGAAAAAGATTGAGAGGCAGCCAAGATACTGGACAGCAGGGTGGACAGCTTGTCATTGTAACCATAAAGCTTTAATTCAAGGTTGCTACCAACAACGGACATTGAAGTCTCCAGTTTAGCCACATATGCCTGGGAGAATCATAAATCAATTGCAAAGAATAACTCAAACAGTTCAAGGAATGTAACAGCAGACAACTAAGTTGGCATTTAACACCAGATATGGCAGCATAAAACTGGTACTGCAACAAATTCAAGAACACACACCTGGTAGAGGACCTCGTTCAGCTCATCTTTAAGAAGATTTACAAATAGATCTGTCAGGACAGAGTTTTCAAGATTGCTATAGCCATCCTTGACAGAAATCAAAAAGTATGTGTTGGCACGAGGTACATTAAATGTCATGTCCATCTTGTACCAGAGCTTTATGAATGGTTCATCCACAATGCATCGAGGATTATCATCACTCAGGGGTTTTG